GGGGGGGTCGGGGCGGCGCGGGCGCCGGCGCCGGCGCCGGCGACGGCGCGGGCGCGGGCGCCGGTCGCGGCGGGCGCGGCGGCAGAGGCGGCCGCGATGGCGCCGGCGGCGCGTTCGCAGGCGGCGGGCGACAGCCCGGCGGCGGGCGAACCGGCTTCGCGGACCCGGTTCACGGCGAAGGGAGAGGCGGCCGCGGCGGGCGCGGTCCCGCGGGGGGCGGCGGCCGCGGCGGCGCGCACGCGGCGTACGCCGCGGCGCCGCCGGCGCGATTCGCCGGGTTTAACCCCGCCGCGGCCGGGTACTACGTCCCTCGCGGCGCGCCCCCGCACGGCGCCGCGCCGACGCCGATGTTCTTCCCCCCGGGCGTGCACGGGTTCGGCGGCGGCGGACGCGGCGGCGGCGGCGGCGGCGGCGGCGGCTCGACCGTCGGCTGCGAGCGTATCCTCGCCGCGGTTCGCGCGCAGGTGGAGTACTACTTCAGCGTCGAGAACTTGTGCAAGGACGTCTTCTTGCGCGAGCGCATGGACGACGAGGGGTACATCCCGATGCCGTTCATCGCCAACTTCAACCGGATACGCATGATGACCCCGGAGCCGTCGGTTGTGCTCGAAGCCATCTCCGGGAGCGCCGCGGTGGAGGTGACGGGTTCAGGTTCCGGGGACGCCTCCGCGACGAAGCTGAGGAAGATGAACGACTGGCAGTCGTGGACGCTCAGCGCGACGGAGCGCGCGATGATGGCGGACAGGGCAGCGGCGGCGAACGCGAACGCGAACGCGGCGGGGATCGGGATCGGGATCGGCGGCGGAATCGGCGCCGGCGGCGGGTTCGCCCCCGGGAGGCTGACGAGCATACCGTCCGGCGCGGCGGTGGATTCGCTCGCGGAGGACTTCGCGCCCTCCGTGCGCGTCTCTCCCGGCAACGCGCCGCCGAAACCGCCGGGGGGGAAGCCGCCGGTGCCTCCGGGTCCGGGAGGAGGGAGCGGCGGCGCGGGGGGAAAGGCAGCCGCCGGCGCGGAGAGCGGCGGCGGCGGCGGCGGCGGCGGCGGCGGCGGCGGCGGCGGGTTGAACGTCGAGGACGAGTTCGAGATGTTCGAGATGGACGAGGACATGCCGCCCGGACATGCCTCCTCCAAGTCAGCAGCCGTCTCGCCGACCGGCGGCGGCGCGAACGACGACGAGGACGACGACGAGGACTACGGCGACGACGTCATGACCGACGAGGACGTCGCGCGGCTCATGATCGTCCAGCGCGGCAAGGGCGCGACGGGGGGCGCGCGCCGCCACCGCGAGGGCGGCGAGGCGGCGGCGATCAACGAGGGGCTTCGCGCGTACCAGAACGAGATCCGCGGCGGCGGGCGGAGCATCCCGCGTGGGGGTGGGTCGCAGGGCGCGGGGAGCTGGCGCGCGGGCGGCTCGGGCGGGTTTGGCGGGTCGTCGATGACGTCGGCGGCTCCGCACTTCTTTCCCAACTCGTACAAGGACGGCGGCGGAATCGGCGGGGGGTTCTCTTCCGGCGGATCACATGGCGGGTTCCACGGCGGCGGCGACGACATCGGGTGGGTCCTCGGGACCACCCCGGACGGTTACGGCGGCTCGATGAGCGGGGGCGGAGCGATGAACTGGCGCACGGGCGAGGGCGGGTCGTACGGCGGCGGGAGCGGGTCGTACGGCGCGAGTCCTCGGACGGGGCGCGCGCGGCGGACGAGCCACGGCGGCGGCTCTCCCGGCGGCTCCGCGTGGGGCGGGTCGCCGCGGGACATCCCGAACTTTCAGCACCCGAGCCACTCGCTGCTCGAGGCGGACGGGTTCAAGCAGCAGAAGTACCGCGCGTTTCACCAGCGGTGCGTGGACGAGCGGAAGCGGTTGGGTCCGGGGAACAGCGAGGAGATGAACACGCTGTTTCGGTTTTGGTCGTATTTCCTTCGAGGGACGTTCAACACGCGGATGTACAAGGAGTTTTGCCGCCTCGCGGAGGAGGACGCGCGGTACTCGTACCACTACGGGCTGCAGTGTCTGTTTCGGTTCTACTCGTACGGGTTAGAGAAGCGGTTCCGGCCGCTGATTTATCGCGATTTCGAGGAGTACACGCTGAGGGATTACGAGAGCGGCTCTCTCTACGGCCTCGAAAAGTTTTGGGCGTACCATTATTACTGGAAGGGCGGCGCGAAGGGCGCGGAGAAGCCGCGCATCCGGGACGAGATCAAAACGCTGCTGGAGACGAAATTTCAGAGCTTGGAGGATTTCCAACGCGAACACAACCGTCGCGCGAACGAGCAGCGGGACGCGACGGCGGCGTGAGCGACGGAGGCTGGGGAAAAAAACATAAAATAGCAAAAAAATCAAAATAACGTAGCGGGCGCGGGGCTCGGGGACGGACGACGAGCGAGAATAAATAATATAATATCATCGACACTAATTAATAAACCGTGCGATCGATCAGAACACGCCGCCGACCTTCGCGGCGACCGCCACCGCGACCGCCACCGCGACCGCCACCGCCGCCGGCGGCGCCCCCGCGCCGCCGTCCGGCTTCGTCAAATCTTTCCGCATGAACGACGTTCGCACCGCGCCGTTCACAACCTTCCCCTCCTCGCTTATCACGATGTTCGGCGTCGCGGCCTCGCCGCCGACCACCTTATACCCGAGCTTCCCGTACAGCCCTTTCGCCTTGCCGTTGCTCGACTCCACGACCAAGACGGCCTCGTCGTACCCCCACCCTCGGATCTCGTCCTCGACGGCGCGCATAAGACGCTTCGCGACGCCTCTCCGCCGCGCGCTCGCGGCGACGGCCAAGTTGGCGATCACGGGCCGATCGAGCACCTCGCCCTTCGTCTCCGCGTCCGCGCGGCTCAGCGGGACGATCCCCTGGAAGCGCTGCACCTCCGCGCCGACGCACCCGACGACGTCGCCGTTTCCGTCGTCGTCGCGGATGACGAACATCGCGGCGTCGCCGCGTCGGTTGTATCGCCTCGTCAGGTCCTTACGCTGCGCGCCGCGGAGGTACGACAGCTCCGACGGCGTGATGGCGTTGTCGCCCGCGGGCTTCCCGCGCAGGAAGAAGGCGTCCACGAAGACGTTCGCGCTCGCGTTGTAATCCTGACCCCTCGCGCGCTCGACGTCGCCGTATTCCGCGCGGGTCGCGACGACGCGCGTCGCGCGCGACGATCGCGAGGAGGAGGACGGCGCGAGACGACGCGCGGCGGCGGGTGCGACGACGGCGCGGCGAGCGGCGATGGACGACGCGCGCAGCGACGGCGACGGCGTCGCGCGCGCGGTGGGGGTCATCGCGAACGCCGCGCTCATGACGACAGCGCGCGTGCTTCGCGCGCTCCGATGTGATGACGACGACGATGGATAACGTGGCAGCGCGGCAGCGTTCACAGTGGAGTCGCGCCAGACTGCCGCCGTCGTCGCGTTTCGGGTGCCGGCATTCTCGGACGCGCCGCGGGACCATGGGAGGACGGAGCTCCAAGGCGTCGAAGCGGCCGCGGGAGCCGAGCCCGGCGGCGGCGGCGGCGGCTCCTCCCGCGGCGGCGACGACGTCGCCGGAGAAGCGGCCGAGGGCGGACGAGGAGGGGACGCCGAGGGACGACGCGGAGGAGGAGGCGGAGGATTCGACCAAGACGTCTCATCATGAGTTTCTTAACAACTCCGCCGACGATTCCGCCCTCCTCGGATCGAGCGACCGCGTCGTCGGCGACGTCGCGGGAGGGCATCGTCGTCTCTACGAGCTTCCCGACGTCGCGCCCGAGGACGTCGCGCCCGACGGCGACGACGCGTCCGACTCCGAGGACGACGACGCCGCGATCGCGGCGCACGCGCTCGAGCTCCGCGACCGACTGACGTCGCTGACACATCTCGCGTCGACACGCGGCGGCCCCGACGCCGCGGACGACGCGGACGCGGCGCGATGGGTGCACTACGTCCTGTCCCACCCCGCGCTCCGCTCGGACGCGTCGCTGTGCGCGCTCGCGACGTCGCTCCTGCGGCACGTCGCGCTGTGCGCCAAGACGAAGGACGCGCTCGCGAGGACGGCGCCGAGGGAGACGACGCGAAGTGCGACGCTGCCGCTCGCCGACGCGAAGGATCGTCATTCGTGGCCGCCGGCGCAGGTGCGTTCTCCTTCACACTGGTTCCCATACGACCGCGTTCGCGTGGTGAACGCCGATCCTTAAGGACTTTTCCCAGCGTGTCTCTTCGCCCACCCCTCGCTTTCAATCCCCGCCCTCGACGCCATTCAACTTCAACTGACGCCTTTGAACTCCGCCGGCGCAGTCGTTATCGCCGGTGGCGAACGCGGCGTGGCGCGCGCTGCGGCACTTCGGCAGTGCCGACCTGGACGGCGCGCGCGACCACTCGCACGTGTCGCCGAGGGCGAGGGAAGCGTGGAAGCGCATGGGGATGGACGGGTGGCAGACGCGCGCGACGTCGGCGGCGAAGGACGAGACGTTGGGTGCGTTCTCCTTCATACTGGTCCCCATACGACCGCGTCGGCGTTGTGAACGCCGATCCTTAAGGACTTTTGCCGTCGTCTCTCTCCGCCCACACATCGCTTTCAATCCCCGCCCTCGGCGCCTTTCAACTTCAACTGACGCCTTTCAACTCCACCCCGACCGGCGCGACTGACCGACCCGACGCGCGCGCCGCCCTATCGCAGTCGCCGTGCACTGCCCCGCGCCGTCGCACGATCGAGACGCCGCGTTGGAAGCGCTCAGCGTTCGCGTCCCCGCGGGCGTCGACGAGGAGCGGTTGTATCATCACTGGGACGGCCCGTCCGAGTTCACGAAGACGGCGCACGGGTTGCGCGGGTGGGTCGGCGAGGACGAGAACGGGGACGCGATAGACGAAGCGGCGGCGGAGGCGAACGCGGACGCCGCGCGGCCGCGACGGTTGGAAAATCTGTTGACGGCGCAGAGGGAGCGCGACCACGAGTACACGCTGTACGCCACGGGCGCCGGCGGTTCCGGTTCGATCCCCGGCCCGTCGGACTACGCGTCCGGGTTCGAAGTGCGGACGATCCCGCACGACGACCCGCGCGTCGCGCTGCGACGAAAACACGGCGCGTTCGCGACGAGGCGCTGGGACGCGTTTGAGATCGTCGCGCCGTACGCCGCGGTGGTGTCGACGCGGGAAGAGTTCGAGGACGCGTGCGCCGACGCGTCGTTCGACGTCGCGAACCGTCGCCGATCGTACGCGGTCACGACGGAGACGGAGATTCAAACCTCGCCGGGCGCCGCGCCGACGCCGCTGGTGTTTTGCGCCGCGGACGCGCGACGCGCGAACCCGATGCGATGCGTGAACGACCCCGCCGTCGACCCGACGCGAAAGGACGCGTCGCGGTGGGGCGCGCTCCGCGCGCACGCGTTTAAAGAGGCCAACTGCCAAATCATCGAGAGCGTCGATCGATGGGGGTGGCCGCGCCTGCGCGTGATGACGACGCGCGAGCTGCACGTCGGCGACGAGTTTCTGATGTCGTACGGCAGGGAGTACTGGGGGTTCGAGAAGCGAACGACGGAGGCGACGGAGACGATGCGCGACGTGGTGAGACTGCTTCCCATACGACCCCGTTCGCGTGGTGAACGCCGATCCTTAAGGACTTTCCCGTCGTCACTCTTCACCCGCGCTTCCCTTTCAACGTTTGACCGGTAAGACGGTCGACTGACCGATCGCTTCACCCACCCAGGCCGACGCGGCGGAGGCGGAGGCGCTTCGATCCGCGGCGGCGAAGAGAGCCGCGGGGGGGTGGCGGTCCAAGTCGAAGAGCGCGAAGGCGGCGCGGTCGCCGAACGCGATCGAGAGGGAGGACGCGCGGCGGGTGATTCGCAAGGCGCGGGGCGAGGTCGCGTGGGACCAAGAGTGACGACAGACGAGACGACGAGCGGAGTCGCGCGTCGAGATACGATAGCAACTTTTTAGAGTCGAGACGCGTAGGTGGGTTAAAAGGGATCCTCCCTACTCGCGGCGTCCCTCGCCGTCGTCGTCGCGGCGTCGTCGTCATCACAACAAGTCGCGCATGAACACGACGCGTCGCACCGCGTTCGTGAACCCCTCGTTGTACTTGTACGTCACGCCGCTCCCGCCGCTCTTCGCGCGCTTCCTCTCCTCGACGTCGCGACCGCTCTTCTTGAACCCGCCGCCCATCGCGGCGGCGAGACGCTTCGCCGCGACGGCTTTGTTGGCGTCCGTCTTCTTCGCCGCGCGCGCCTCCCTCTCCTCCTTCGTCGGCGGCGTCGACGGGCCCCCGCACGCCATCTCCGCGCGTCGTATCGTCTCCATCTTGACCTCGCGCGCGAGCATCTCAGGGTCGTTCCATACGAGTGAACGTCGGGGTGGAGTTGAAAGGCGTCAGTTGCAGTTGAAAGGCATCGCGGGCGGGGATTGAAAGGGAGGGGTGGGCGGAGAGAGACGACGGCAAAAGTCCTTAAGGATCGGCGTTCACCACGCCAACGCGGTCGTATGGGGACCAGTGTATAGAACGCACCTCGCGGATGTTTGGGGGGAGGACGCGTCGGATCGGCGCGCCCGCGGCGGCGGCGGCGCCTCGCTGCTCCGTCGCCGCGGCCGCGGGCGCGTCAGTGGGCGGGTTGAACCCGCCGAAGCTCGCTCTTCGGCCGCCGTACTTGTCGCCGCCGTACTTGTCCTTCCCCGGCTCGTTGTTGACCCCGGGGACGCCGCCGCCGAAAGCGCACAGCGTTTCAATCGGCGGATCGAGGACGTAATTCGACGTCGCGCCGCGAAACGCGAACGCCGACGACGCCGCCTCCGTCCCCGCGGGCGGCTCCTCGTACGTCAGCGCGTACGACGCCATCGTCTCCACAGCACCCTGCGCGAGCTCTCGCTCCGCGGGCTTCATGAAGTTCACCGCGACCGGCCGCACTTCCGGCGCGATCGTCGTGAGGAGGTACGGAATCACGTCGGCGAGGACGTCGTCCGGCGCGACGGCGAGTCCGCCGCCGACGCGCGGGCTCGTCGACGCCGCCCACCCGCGCATGATCCCTCTCCTCCGCGTCGCCTCCCTCCGTACCTTCCCGCCCTGCGGCCACTCGAGAAACGTCCCGGCCGCGCCGCCGTTGGAGACGGTCGCGTGAACCGCGAGCGCGCACGACGCGACGTACGGCCTGAGATAAAACGCGCCGCGCGAGTACCCGCGATGCGCGTACGCGTCCGCATCGCCGAGCGCCGTCAGCGCGTCGCACGTCTTCGCGAGCGACGCGTCCGTGTTCTTCACGGAGTGCAAATTCTCGAACAACCCGCCCATGAGGAGATCGTCGTCCCCGAACGAGACGCACTGCGCGTAGAGATCCGCGTTGTGCGCCTCGCGCGATTTCCCCCGCGTGCGCCGGTTCACGATGTGGCCCGACAAGAGCGTCGTCCACGCGTTTCGCGCGTTCGCGGTGAGGTCCTTCTCCCCGCCGCTCGCGCCACCGCCGGTGATGTCCTTGAGCGTGACGTCGGAGTTGCTACCGGGGCGCGAGCTGAGAAGTTGCAGCGCGTTGAGGCACGATCGGACGTCGCCTTCGTTGCGATCGACGAGCGCGGTGAGCGCTCGCGCGTCGGCGCGCACGCCCTTCTCGAGGCACACGCGACGGAGGCGCGACGCGATGGCGGACTTGTTCGCCGCGCCGACGCGGAACACCTTCGCGATCTCTCTCAGCGGACGCAGCGCGGGAGCGTACAGGTCGTTGCAGATGGCGATGATCGGGCGGTTCAGCGGCCCGGGGCCTTTCTTCTTCTTCGAGCCGCCGGAGCCGGAGGAAGACTTGTCGCGTTTGCCCGCCTCCTCCCGCGCGTCCTCGTCCGCGTTCTTGTACCACTTCCCGTCCGGCGTCTTGCGCCACTTGGCGCCGCCGCTTTTTTTACCGCCGTTGACAATCTGCAGCAGCGCGTGGATCGCGCCTTTACCCTCCGCGCCGCCGAGCGCGCCGTCGATCTCGTCGATCACGACGCAGTTCGGCTTGTTCGCGCCCGCGCCGCCGCCGACGACCGACCGCATCTGACACGCGTCCGTCACTCGCCTCTTGAGCGTCTCCGCGTTTCGATCGTCGCTGGCGTTGATCTCCACGACCCGGTACCCCGCGTGCTTCGCCGCGACGTGCGCGAGCGTCGTCTTTCCAACCCCGGGCGCGCCGCTGAGGAGTAAAATCTTGTGCACCGGTCGCCCCTCCTCGTCCAACGGCACGTGCGTGTTAAACGCGCCCGCGTCCTTCTTCTTGTACTCCTTCTTGTACTCCGCGCCGCCCCGGTACCCGCCGCCGCCGCCGTCTCTCCCGCCGCCTCTTCCACCGCCTCTCCCGCCGTCGCCTCTCCCGCCGCCGCCTCTTCCGCCGCCGTCGCCCTTCGGCTTCCAGTCGATCGTCACCGGCTTTGGCGGCGCGCGTTTGAACACGATCCCGTCCCACGCCTTGAGCCAATGGAGAACTTCGCGGTTCGTCTGCTCCGGGGAGAGCAACTCCGTGAAGAGCTTCGGGGCGTGCGCGTCGACCCAGAGCTTCGACGCCGCGATGGCCGCGATGTTCTTCTTCGCGGTCGCGATTCGATCCTCCTCGGAGGTGCCGAGCCGACGCGCGTCGCCCTCCCACATGTTCGGCGTCGTCCCGTTCGCGCTGAGCGCGGCGTTCTCCTTGAGCTGTTCCTTCAAAAGCTCCGCCGCGCTGAGATTCGCGCGCGCGTCGAGCCGCTCCTTCTCGCGCAGGACCTCCCCACGCCGCCGCGCGTCCAAGCGGTCGAGCATGTCTTCGATCGGTTCGGACAGCAGGCTCGTCTGAGGGTCGTTCCATACGAGCGAATGTCGGGGTGGAGTTGAAAGGCGTCAGTTGGAGTTGAAAGGCGTCGCGGGCGGGGATTGAAAGCGGGGGGTGGGCGTGGAGAGACGACGGCAAAAGTCCTTAAGGATCGGCGTTCACCACGCCGACGCGGTCGTATGGGGACCAGTGTATAGAACGCACCTTATTCGTCATCGCCGCGCCGCGGAACGACACGTCCGCGGCGTCCGTCCCTCCTCCTCCTCCTCCTCCTCCTCCCGCGCCGCTCTGTGAGTACTCCGCGCGGACGAACGCGCGGCGGCCGTCGGCGGCGGTGACCGCGACCGGGATGCCGTCGACAATCGCGGTCGCGGTCGTCCGCGGCGCGTCGCGCCGCGCGTTCGAGAGGAGAGGCGCGGGCTCGTGCGGCTCCCACGTCTCGCACTGCGGGTCTTCTTCTTCCTCGTCGTCGTCCATCGCCGCCGCGTCGTCGTCGTCGTCCGGGAACGCGGCGTCGTTCGCGGCGGCGTTCACACCTGTCGACGCGTCGCCGCCCGGTCGCTGCGTCGCTCCCGCGTTCGCGAGGAAGTCGAGGTCGTCCTCTGCGATCCCGCCCCCCTGCGTTTGCGTCTGCGTTTGCGCACGCGCGGCGTCGTCGGGAGCCATCTGCGCGCTCCCGACGCCGCGCTGCGTCGCGCCGACGCCGTCGCCGCCGCCGCCGTCGTCTTCGTCGTCCATCATCATCATCATCTCTTCTTCGTCGACGTCGCCACCGCCGTCGTCCTGGTCGATGAGCGCGTCCATGTCGTCGAAGCCGTAGTCGTCGTCGTCCATGGTGTTTTTTTTTTTTCTTCTTCTTCTCGGACGATGCGCTCGGTCAGATCCGGGACTACTAGACCGCGGGCGGGCGGCGCGTCGTGCGCTCGCGCGCGTCCTTCGCGCGCGCGCGGTCGCTCGCCGCGAGCGCGAGTGATGCCGCGGAGGGCGTGTGGGCGCGTGCGGCGTCGGAGCCTCGCGCGCGGGCGTGTGCGCGCGAGACGCGAGAGCCGCGATCGATCGTCCGAACTTTTTTGAATTCGGCCTGGTGCGCGCGCGCCACGCGCCGACGACCTGACAGTTCACGCCCCCGCCCCGTCGCGTTGCCACCTCAGCGCGCCCTTAGAGTCGCGTCGTCACTTCGCCGCGCGCGCTCTCGCGCCGCCCCGCCGCGCCGCGACGATGGCGTCGCTGTCGTCGTCCGCGTCGCTCTGCGCCGCGCGCCGACGTCCATCGCGCGCGGCGCGCTGCGTCGACCGCGTCGCGACCCGCGCGCGCGTCGTGCGATGGCGCGCGAACGCGTCGTCGTCGTCGTCGTCGTCGTCGTCGAACGACGGCGACGATGGGGAGTCCGACGAGAAGACCGCCCCCGCCGACGACGACGACGACGACGACGCCGACGCCGACGCGAAATTAATCACGGACGCGTCGCTGAAGCTCCTCCGAGAGCGCATGGACGCGATCGCGACGCGCGAGGCGTCCATGGACATCGTCCGCCTCCTCGTCCTCGACGCGTCAGGTGCGTTCTATACACTGGTTCCCATACGACCCCGTTCGCGTGGTGAACGCCGTTTCTTAAGGACTTTTCCCGGCGCATCTCTCCGCTCATCCCTCGGTTTCAATCCCCACCATCGACGCCTTTCAACTCCACCTGACGCCTTTGAACTCCACCCCGACGTTCGCTCGTATGGAACGGCCCTCAGTGCCAGGGCAGGTCCTCCCGCTCGTCTTCCCCGCGGACGGCGACCCGCGCCGATCGCTGAACGGCGGGACGTTCCTCGGCGCGGACGTCAAGGTGGGCGATACGTTCGGGATGCTCGGGCAAGCGCCGTCGAACGGGCAGATACTCCCGAACGGCGTCGAGGTCGTCGTCCGCGAGATTTCAGGTGCGCTCTATACGCTGGTTCCCATACGACCGCGTCGGCGCGGTGAACGCCGATCCTTAAGGACTTTGCCCGGCGTCTCTCTCCGCCCACACCTCGCTTTCAATCCCGACACACCTCGACGCCTTTCAACGCCAACTGACGCCTTTCAACTCCACCCCGACATCGCTTCGTATGGAACGACCCTCATCAGTGCGCGCGGCGGCGGACGGCGGCGACACGAAGATCGAGCTCGTCGCGGGGCGACGATTCAAAGTCCACGGACAGCCGTTCGAGGACGCGGAGCGGGACGATAACGCCCCGAGCGCGCGCGTCGTGTGGATCGACGAGGACGAGGGCGCGGGAGAGCAGACCGTGGAGGGCGCGGATCCGCGAATGATTCACCCGGAGGAGCCGGCGCGGAAGGACGCGACGGCGTTCGACGCCGTCGCGAGACGACTGGCGTCGGAGTTGCCCGCGCTCGTCGAGGAGTGGAAAGATTTGGTGAGGAAGACGGATCGCGAGCGGACGCCGAACCATATCGAGCTCGTGGAGTCGCACCTCGGGACGATGCCGGACCCGGAGAAACACCCCGCGCGGCTGGCGTGTTACGTCGCGGGTTTGATCAATCCGATTCCGGGGATGGGCGTCGCGTACGAGGTGCGTTCTATCTCACACTGGTCCCCGTACGACCGCGTTCACGTGGTGAACGCCGTTCCTTAAGGACTTTTCTTCCCGGCGCATCTCTCCGCCCAGGGTCCCTCGCTTTCAATCCCGACACACCGCGACGCCTTTCAATTCCGCTTCTGACGCCTTTTAACTCCACCCCGACGTCGCTTCGTACGGAACGGCCCTGAGATTCGACCGGCGCTGCTCTGCGCCGTCACGGTGAGCGACATGATCGGCGTGGTGCACGGCGGCATCACGAGCAGCATCCGAGGGTTGAAGAAGAGCGCGGGGTTGGACGTCGAGGACGAGGACGACGACGTCGGCCCCGCGTGAGTCTTCGGTCGATGGGTCGCCGCGCGTACAGTACACACTTTTATCGTTAAGTTATTACCTTCGTAGAACTTTCGAAGGTAGTCTACTACAGTACACCACGTATGATATCTATCGCGAAGGCGCCTTCGCGACGTTCGCGCGTTCGCTCGAGACGATTCGAGCGTGCAGCGGCGATATCGACGCCAGCGCGTCCAGCAGCGCGCCCGCGTCCGACGCGACGCTCGCCGCGGACGCGTCGGATGACGCGCTCCCGGCGACGAACGCTCTGACGCGCGCGTCGACCGCCGCGTCGGCGCCAGCTGTACCGCCGCCCCTCTCCAGCGCGCACGCGCCGCGCAACAACCCGGCGTTTTTTCCGAGCACCGCCAGCGCTTGCGGCGGCGACAGCGCGAGAGGATCGTCGAGGAGGCGCCTGAGCGCCGCCGCCGCGGTCGCCGCGGCGACGTCGTCGTCTTCCGTCGGTCCTCCGCGTTCTACGTCGTCGATCCCGCCTCTCGAAGCGTTGAACGCGCGCCACCGCGCCGCGTGCTCGGCTCGCGCGACGGCGCTCTGGACCCTCCCGATCAGCGCGGCGAACGCCGCGTCGCTCGCGGCGACGGCGAGCCGCCACGCGTCGTCGTCGTCGTCTCTCTTCGCGGCGGCGGAGAGTTCGAATAACGCGCGCGTCGCTTCTTCGCCCGCGGTCGCGCTCTTCTGTTTCGACGACGCCGCCGGTGGACGCGGCGGCGACGGCTCGTCGCGGCTCGGGTGCGCGAGCGCGCCGAGGGCGTCGACGACGCGCGCGCGGTCATCGGCGAACGCGTCGAGGAAACTGCGACCGCCGTCGGAGGAGGAACCGTCGGACGCGGTCGCGGCGGCGCAGAGCGCCGCCGCCGCCGCCGCCGCCGCCGCGCCGCCGAGCGTCGACGCCTTCGCCGCGTTCTCCAGCGCGTCGACGACGACGCCCTTCAACGCGTGCAGCGCGTCGTGTACCTCCTCACGCCGCGCGCGCGCGTCGCGTCGTGAAGCGCGGTGGTGAAGCAAGACGCGCGCGGTCGCGTCGAGCGCGCACGAAGCCGCGGCGGCGTCGCCGCCGTTCGCCGCCGCCGCCGCCGCCGCCGCGAGCGACGACGTCCCGCCTTGGCGCGCGGCGAACGCGGCGACGCCGGCGGCGTGCTTGCACACGTTCGCGACGCACGCGAGCGCGTACCGCGCCGCCCGCGGGTCGTCGAACGTCGCGGGCCCTAGACTCGACGCGAGGACGTTGACGAGCGCGGCGAATTCATCCGCGTCCGCGTTCGCCTCGCCGCCGCCGCCGCCGCCGCCGCGTCGCGCGATGTCGTCCAAGCACGACGCGTCGCTCGTGAGGTTGACCAGGCCCGCCGCGGCCGCGATCCGCTCCCTCGCGTCGCCGTCCATCAACCGCGTCGTCAGCGCGAGGACGAACCCGTTTTCGCGCGTCGCCGCGCGTCGACCCGCGCGCGTTAGTAAAACGTTACGACACGCGGCAAGGGCCATCCCTCGCGCGTCGTCGGGCGCGTCGTGACGCAGTAACGTCAGAAGCGCGTGCGTTACCCCTCCATGCGAAGCGCTCGTCGCGAGGAAGTTCGCCGCCGCGGGATGCGACGCGATGTTGCCGATCGCGGACGCCGCGTGCGCGGCGAGCGACGCGGTCGCGACGGCGACGGGGTCCCCCCCGATCGACTTTCGCCGCGATAATTTATCTCGGGCCCCCCCCCGCCTCTCGAACGGCGCGCGCAACGCGCGGACGAGCGCCGGGAGCGTCCCGACGTGCGAGACGACGCGCGCGGCGACCGCGGGGAAGCGCGTCAGCGTCGCGAGCGCGCTCGCGGCGACGACGCCGCCTTCGATGACGTCCACGACGGACTTATCGCGCGCGGACTCCTCGTCGTCGTCGAAATCGTCGTCGAAATCGTCGAAATCGTCGAAATCGTCGTCGTCGTCCGCGGCGTCGACGGCGGCGTCGCACGCGCCCTCGAGCAGCGCCCGCATTCCCACCAACACACCCTCCGCGGTGCACACCGCGTTCGCGCACCTCCCCGCCCGCGCGACGTCCCCGCTCGCGACCGCGCCCGAGAGCAACGCCCCGAGCGCGCCCGCCGCCGCGGCCCGCCCTTCAAACGTCGCGTGCCTATACGAGCGAACGTCGGGGTGGAGTTGAAAGGCGTCAGAGGGAGTTGAAAGGCGCCGAGGGCGGGGATTGACAGCGAGGGACCCTGGGCGGAGAGATGCGCCGGCAAAGTCCTTAAGGATCGGCGTCCACCTCGCGAACGGGGTCGTAATGGAACCAGTGTGAGATAGAACGCACCTTGAGCTCGACGTCAACAGCGCCGCCAGCGCGTGGACGCTCCCTTCCGTGCGCTCCACCGCGCTCGCGCCGGCGCCGACGTCCGCGGACGCGCAGCACACAGACCATAACGCTCGCGCCGCGGCCGTTCTCTCGCTCACGCACACCCGCGGCCCGCCTCTGGTGAGTCGCACGAGCCCGCGGAGGCTTCGCGGGTCGCTCGTCACGCGCGCGTGCGTCTCCGTCGCCGCGGCGGCGAAGACGTCGCACGCGACCACCCTGACCGCGTTCGGGCAGCATCGCTCGCTGTACGTGTCGTCTATAAAAGTCGTCCCCGCCTCTGTTGGTGTTTCAACGGACGTCGACGCGGCGTTATCGACGCGTTCGACGCGTTCGTCGTCGACGACGGACGCGGACGCGGGACCTGCTGAACCGACGCCGTCGTCGTCGTCGTCGCCGTAGAAAGTTTCCTCTTCGTACGTCACGCGCTTGTTCGACCGCGGCGCGCCGAGCGGCGACAGCGCGGGGGAGACGTGCCCGAGGAGGGGGTCGGCGGCGTCGGCGTTCGTCCAGCGCGTCCCCCCGCCACCGCCGAAGAGGAGGAGCCCGTCGTAAAACTCGCCTACGTCTTCTCGCGCGAGGACGTCGCGCGCGTCGCACGTCGGATCCACGGTGAGATCGCTCGGCCCCCCGGCGGATCCGCCCGACGACGACGCCAACGCCGCGCGCATGCGGGCGTACGCGCGCTCGTCCAGGAACCCCGACAGCGCGGCGGACGTGGAGGTTCGCGCCGCGAGCGCGCGCGCGATCACCGGGCGTTTTTTCGCGAGCGTCGCGAGCGTCCCGAGCGCGCTCGCGGCGGCGACCACGGCGGGTCGAGACGCCGGCGGCGGCGCGGCTCCCGCGCTCGACCAGGGCGGACTCCCTCCTCCCACGCCGTGATTTGAGAGACTCTCCCAGGAGACTCTGCGAGCGTGGTGCTGGTGCGCCGCCGCGCCGCCCCCGGGGCCGCCGGCGGCGTTCCCCGCGTTGTATCCATGATAAGATCCGAACGACAGGATACTCAGCACTCGATCCGGCGCGTCGGACGGCGCGTCCGCGGCTCGCATCGCCCCCGCGAGCGCGTCGACGACGCGCGGCGTCGAGACGACGGCGTCTAACAAGGTGGTTCCGGATTCCGCGGTTCCGGATTCCGCCGCGCCCGCGGTCGTCATCCATCGCAGCGCGTCCGCGCACGCGGCGGCGAGGCGCGCGCGTTCGGCGGTGTTCGCGCCGGCGCCGGCGCCGCGCCGCCGTCGTTCTTCGCCGCGCCTCCCTCCTCCTAAGGGTCGTTCCATACAAGCGAATGTCGGGGTGGAGTTGAAAGTCGTCAGTTGGCGTTGAAAGGCGTCGAGGACGGGGATTGAAAGCGAGGGGTGGCCGCAGAGATGCGCCGGGGTAAGTCCTTAAGGAACGGCGTTCACCACGCGAACGCGGTCGTATGGGGACCAGTGTATAGAACGCACCTAAAAGCGCCTCCTCGCGTTCGTCGCCGACGGACGCGAGCAACGCGCGCACGAGCGCGCGCGCGACGTCCGCGGGCGCCACGTCCGACGGCAGCGACGACGCGCGGTGTCGCGACACGACGCGGCCGAGGAGACGCGCCGCGGCGGACGCGCACTCCGCCCTCGCCCGGGCCGTCGCCGGCGCCGCGGTCGTCGCCGCCGTCGTCGAAGTCGTCGTCGTCCGCGGCGCCGGCGCGGCGTCGACCATCGCCGCGTGTTTCGGGGTCGAGATCGTGAGCCCGCCGCCGCCGCGCCGCCCGCGGAGGGGTGATATCACCCCCTCGTTCGCGTTCGCGTTCGCGTTCTCGTTCTCGCTCGCGTCGTCGTCGTCGTCGTCGTCGTCGTCGTCGTCGTCGTCGTCGCCGCCGCCCGCGGACTTCACGAGCGCGAGAAGGCTCGGAACGGCGTCTTTGACGACGCGCGCGAGCGCTCTCGGGAGCGCGCCCGCGCGCTCGTCGTCGTCGTCGTGCACGCGCGCGAGCGCGGCGAGGACGCACGTCGCGTGCGCGGCGACCCACGCGTCCGCGGCGGCCTCGGCGTCGTCCGCGTCTGCGTTTTCGTCGTCGGCGCGCGAAACCGAAATCGAAACCGCGCGCGCCGCGCGTTCGATCGCGGGGACGACCGCGGCCGCGATGGACGCCCGCGCGCACATCGCGGCCGCGACCGCGTCTGAGCACGACGCGAAGCGCGAGAGCGCGCGCATCGCCGCCGCGCGCGGGTCGCTCCCGCCGAGCGGCTCGATCGTCGCGTCGCCGCCGTCGCGCGCTTCGCGTTCGCTTCCGCTTTCGTCTCCCGCCGCCGCCGTCGCCGCTCTCGCGACCGCGCGGACGAGCCCAATCTCCCCGCCGCCGCTCTTCTCTCCTCTCAACTCCGCGAGGATCGCGCGCGTCGCCGTCGGCGTCCACGCGAGCTCCGTCAGGACCCCACAGGCGGCGGCGACGACTTCGGCGCCGCCGCCGCCGTCGCCGCCGCGGTTCGCGTTTGACGAGACGACCAGCGACGTCGCGCGCCTCAACGCCTCCGTCGCGGACGCGATGTCCTCCCTCGTCTCGTCGTCCTCCGCGCCTCGCGCGATGTCGCCCAGCAGCCTCGCGCAGGACGCGACGGCACGCTCTCTTGCACCCGCCACGTCACCATGTGCCACGTCAGCGCCGCCTTCCACGTCAGCGCGGCACATTCCCGCGAGCGCCGCGCGTATCGCGTCGACGGACCAAATCGTCTCTTCCCTGAGGGTCGTTCCATACGAGCGAATGTCGGGGTGGAGTTGAAAGGCGTCAGAAGCGGAGTTCAAAGGCGCCGAGGGCGGGGTTTGAAAGCGAGGGATAGGCGGAGAGAATCGCCGGGAAAAGTCCTTAAGGATCGGCGTTCACCACGCCGACGCGGTCGTATGGGGACCATTGTGAGGAGAACGCGCCACGCGCGGAACGGAGACGAAGCCCTCGCGACGTCTTTCGCGCCCCCTCGCGCTCCGTGATACCGCACCGCGTTTCGTAACGTCCGCGCGGCGACCGCGGCGACGTCGTCCGCGTTAACGCGCGATACCCCGGAAGGTTCCGCGGGTGGGGCGAGCAGCGAGAGGAGCGCCCCCGCCGCGGACGCGTGCGCCGCGACGGCCGCAGCGCCCCTCGCCGTCGACGACAGCGCCTCCAACGCTCGCATCGCGTCTGAGGGCCGTTCTATACAAGCGAATGTCGGGGTGGAGTTGAAAGGCGTCAGTTGGAGTTGAAAGGCGTCGATGGCGGGGATTGAAAGCGAGGTGTGGGCGGAGAGAGACGACGGCAAAAGTCCTTAAGGATCGGCGTTCACCACGCCGACGCGGTCGTATGGGGACCAGTGTATAGAGCGCACCTGACGCGTCGTCCGGCGGCGTCGGCGACGACGACGACGACGACGACGACGACGACGGCGCTAACGACGCCGCGACGCCGACGAGATCGTCCAGCGCGGCGACGACGACCGCGCCGGCGGCGACGTTCAGGGGTCGCGTCGCGGCGGCGGCGACGGACTCACTCGACGCCGACGTCGAGATTGAAATCGAGATTGAAATCGAAATCGAAATCGCGCGCTTCGCGTCGCGGAGCGTGCGCGACGCGACGCGCCAGCGACGCGCGCACGCGGCGGTGCCGAGCGCGCCGGCCGCGGCGTCCGCGAGCGGTCGCGCGCCGCGCGCGATCGCGATCGCCAGCGCGTCGCTCAGCGCGTCCATCGCGTCGTCGTCGAGCGTCGCGCGCGTCGTTCGCGTCGTCTCCGTCCCCGACGCTTCCTCGAGCAGCGCGCCCACCGCCGCCGTCGCCGCCGCCGCCGTCGCCGTCCGCGCCGCGCGTTTCCTCGCGTCTTCGCCGTCGCCGCTACACCTCATCCTCGTCCTCGCCCTCGCCCTCCCCGCGGCGCTCCCCGTCGGCGTCGCGTGCACGATCACGGACCCCGCGCTCTGCCAGCTCTCCGGCCCGCCGCCCAGCGCGCTCTCGACGGATCGGCGCTGATGCGACTGCGGGCGCGGCGGGAGCGGGATCTGCCGCGAGAGCGATAACGACCCGTCGCGCGCGGAGACGCCGTCGTCGCCGCTGAGGTCGAGCGAGGAAAGCGCGGCGGCGTTGGTAAGGGCGGCGCGGCCGTCCGGCGTCGGCGGCAGCGGCAGCGTGATGGTCGCGTCGTCGTTCGCGCGCTTCCTCGCGTCGTCGTGACGACGATGATGTCGACGACGGTCGTCGTCGGGATGCGCCAGGTCGTCGTCCGTCGACGCCGCGCTCTCGTCGCGGCTCTCGACGTCGTCGACGTCGTCCTCGCCGCTCGTCGTCACCGCGCGTCGGATCGTCTCCGCGAGCTCGGCGACGAGCTCGGGGAAGACGCGCGCGGCGGCGTCGATCGCCGCGTCGCGCGCATTCTCGCGCGACGACGCCTCGTCGCGCGTCGTCGTCGGAGTCGTCGTGGGCGCGGGCGAGGAGGACGACGCCGACGCGGCGCGCGCGCGCATCAGCGCCGCGAGCGCGCTCGCGCCCCGCCCGCCGCCGCCGCCGCTCGGCGGGGAGTGGTCGTCCGCGCCGCCCGGCGGACCCGTCATCGCGAAGGACGACGACGCGCTCACGAGGACGGCGCGCCCATCGCGCGCGGTGACGAGTGAAGTGACTTCAGCGAAAAGGATCATCAATCGTTGTTGTTTTTTTAAAAGAATAAGCGAGGGGTCTCGTCCCTCGCCCCGAAGACTCGCTCGCGTCGCCCGTCGGCGTCGTCGCCCGCCCCACCGCGTCGGTCGACGTTCCATCTCCCCCCACGCACCGCGCACGTTAACGTTACAGTACAGCGGCACGTTACCGCGCGGGAACCTTCCCCGCCGCCTTGTCGATGACCTCGCGGTAAACGCTCTTCATCTTCACGCCGTTCATCACCTCTATCCGCTCCTTGTTCTTGAACACCTGCACGCACGGCGTCCCGGAGATGCCCGCGGCCTGCGCGATCTCGGAGTCCTTCTCGATGTCGATCTCGACGAAGTGCACGTCGTCGCCGTACTCGTCCAACACCTTATCCAGCATCGGCTTCAGGCGCTTGCACGGGCCGCAGTTCGGGCCGCTGTACAGCACCATGAGCACGCGGTCGCTCTCGTGGTACAGCTTGCGCAACGCGAACTGGCCCTTGTGCTTCACCTTGTCGCCGTCGAACGTCGCCTTGCTCTCCTCCTCGACGTCACCCTCGTTCTCCTTGTCCGCCTTGAGCTTCGTCTCCTTCTCCTTCTCCGTGAGCGCGGCCGCGGCGGACGCCACCTTGGCGGCGACGCCCGCGCCCGCGCCCGCGCCCGCGTCAACCGCGTCTCTCTCGACGAGCAACCCCTCGGTTCCCAGGTACCGCTCCGCGCTGATCGCAGCCATGCACCCGCTCCCCGCGGCGGTGATCGCCTGCATCCACTCCGTGTCGTGCAGGTCGCCCGCGCTGAACACGCCGGGGACGGACGTGCCCGCGCCGCCATCCTTAATCACGACGTAGCCGAGGTCGTCGCACTCGACGTATTGAGAAAAAAACCCGCTGTTGGGCGAGTGTCCGATGTTCAAAGCGACGTCGGGGTGGAGTTCATAGGCGTCAGAAGCGGAGTTGAAAGGCGCCGAGGTGTGTCGGGATTGAAACCGTGGGACCCTGGGCGGAGAGAGACGACGGGCAAAGTCCTTAAGGATCGGCGTTCACCACGTGAACGCGGTCGTACGGGGACCAGTGTGAGATAGAACGCGCCTGTTGGGCGAGTGTCCGATGCCGTAAAACATCCCCTTCACCGCGAGCTTGCTCGTCTCCCCCGTCTTCGTGTCGCGCAGGTTCAACCCACTCAAGAATCCCTTCGCGTTGCCGAACGCGTCGTAACACTCCGTGTTGTAGTGCGTGGTGATCTGCTTGTTCGCGACCACGCGGTTACGCATCTCCTTGCTCGCCTTCAGGGTCGTTCCATACGAGCGAATGTCGGGGTGGAGTTGAAAGGCGTCAGTTGGAGTTCAAAGGCGTCGAGGTCGGGGATTGAAAGCGACGGGTGGGCGAAGAGAGACGACGGCAAAAGTCCTTCAGGATCGGCGTTCATCACGCCAACGCGGTCGTATGGGGACCAGTGTATAGAACGCGCCTTCATCTTCTCCCCGCGCACGAGCAGATGCACGTGCTTGCCGTACTTCGTCAGGTACAGCGCCTCCTCCGTCGCGGTGTCGCCGCCGCCGACGACCGCCAGCTCCTCGCCCTTGAAGATCGGCGACGGGCCGTCGCAGATGGCGCACGCGGAGATGCCTCGGCTCCAGAACGTCTCCTCGCTCGGGATCTTGAGCCGCTTGGCCGTCGCGCCCGTGGCCAAGATCACGCTGTGCGCCTTCACGACGCGCTCGCTGGACTCGATCACGAACGGCCTGACCGAAAAGTCCACGCGCTCGACGTCCTCCGTGTGCAGCGTCGCGCCCCACCGCTCGGCTTGCTTGCGCATCTTGTCCATGAGGTCCGGCCCCGTGACGCCCTCCGGAAACCCCGGGAAGTTTTCCACCTCAGGGTCGTTCCATACAAACGATTGTCGGGGTGGAGTTGAAAGGCGTCAGGTGGAGTTGAAAGGCGCCGCGGGCGGGCGTTGAAAGCGCGGGGTGGGCGGAGAGATGTGCCGGCAAAAGTCCTTAAGGATCGGCGTTCACCACGCCGACGCGGTCGTATGGGAACCAGTGTATAGAACGCACCTCAGTCGTCGTCATGAGCTGGCCGCCCGGGACGCCGCCGGCTTGGAAGCCCTCGAAGACGATCGGGGAGAGGTCCGCTCTGCCGGCGTAGATGGCCGCGGTGTACCCCGCGGGGCCGCTGCCGATGACGACGACGCTGTGGACGTCGTCGTCGTCCGATCCGGCGGCGGACGCGGACGCGCGCGCCGCGCGAGTCCTGGATGGGCCCACCGCGCGCTTCGTCGTCCCCGCGTTTCTGGCGGGCAGAGCGCCGCCGCGCGTCGCGCCCGACGACGTGATCCGCGACGACGCGCGGGGCCCGGACGAGGACGCGCGCGGGAGCGCGACGCGCGGCGCCGCGCGCGCGGCCGTGGACGCGTGCGCTGACGTCATGGTGAAGATGATGTCGTCGACGACGTCTTCTTCCTGTCCCGCCTCTGCGAGCTAGACTTGCACGATGCCTCGCGCGCGCGCCTCCTCGCCGAAGCCCTCGACGCCGTGCGCGTGGATCGCGGTTTGTGAAGCGCGAACGGAAGCGAACGATGCGAGTTTCGCGGGTCCGCGCTCGACGCGCGCGTCGCGATGTGTCGCGCTCGCCGCCGCGGTGACGCGTCGACGTGGAGAAAAACTTCGTATCTGCAGTGGCGAGAGCCAATCAGCGTTCGAGTTGGCCGCGATCTCGGTGGCACCCCTCTCTCCTTTCCAGCTCGGCGCGTCTGACTGTTTGCCTGTGCGCGCGCCCGCGTATCGTATTTTATCGTACGGAAACGCCTCAGCGCGCGTCAGTCGCGCGCCTGCCGTCGTCATCACAGCGCTCGCGCGGCGACGATGGCGGCGACGTCAGCGACGACGACGAGCGTCGTTCCCGGTCGCGCGGCGCGCGTCATCAGCCCGCGGCGCGTCGCGCCGTCCTCGAGCGCGAGCTGCTCGTCGCGAGGACGCGCGGCGGCCGCGGCGGACGCGACGCGCGTCGCGAGCGCGACGACGACGACGACGACGACGACGACGACGACGACGACGACGACGACGCTCGCGTCGTCCGTCGCGGCCGCGTGCGTCCTTCTCGCGACGTCTCCCGCGGCGCACGCCGCGGGACCGACGTACTCCGGCGTGGACCCGGACGCGTCGCCGCTCGTGCAGAGTGCGTCCCCGCCGCCCGCCGCCGTCGCGCGACGCGTTCGATGGCCCGCGCGCGCGTCCGTGCCGTCCGCTCGCGCCAAAACTCATCCATCGACTCACGTCCTCCTCCTCCTCCTCCTCCTCCTCGCTCCGTGCCCGCTCGCGCGCGCAGGACTCCGCGAGCGCACGGCGGAGAACAAGGCGACGTACGATAAGCAGCGGCTCGACGACTTCTACAGGAGGGACTACCGAATCAACCGCATCTTGGGCGCGGAGGTGGTTCCCGAGCCGTGCGACCCGCGCGACCCTGAGGTGCGTTCTATACACTGGTTCCCATACGACCGCGTCGGCGTGGTGAACGCCGATCCTTAAGGACTTTGCCGGCGTATCTCTCCGCCCAGGGTCCCTCGCTTTCAATCCCCGCCCGCGACGCCTTTCAACTCCAACTGACGCCTTTCAACTCCACCCCGACGTTCGCTCGTATGGAACGGCCCGGAGTTCGGATACGAGTGCGCGAAGCTGCCGCGGTTGCCGCAGGATCTGACCGACCCGTTCGACCCGCGGTCGATGAAGAACGCGCCGAGACGCGGGGCGTTGTTCGGGTTGAACGATCTGAACATCGAGGAGGAGGACGGCTTCAAAGCGGTTGCGGAGGCCGCCGACGACGACGACGTCGACGCGACCGCCGGAGCCGTCGACGCGACCGCCGACGACGTCGACGCGACCGCCGGAGACGAGGAGACCGCGGCGCCGCTCGAGGAGGAACCCGCGGCGTCGATAGACCCCCCCGCCGCGCCGACGGAGGACGCGAGCGGCGATGCGTCGTCGTGAGTGACGCGATGACGCAATACGTTATTAATCACAGGTTAGGGTGCCAAAGCCTCGCGCGCGAGGTCGACCCCCCTCCGTTCCTCCTCCTCCTCCCCCGCTTCGACGCTTCGCTCCTGAGCGAGTCGAACGCCCCCCCCGCGAACGCGTCGCACTCGTCCTCGATCTCCCTCCTCCTCTCCTGCGCGGCGTCGAAATCGAACGCGGCCACGAACACCAACCCGACCGCGACGAAGCTCGTGACGGCGAGCATGCCCCATCGCGGACTCCCCGTCGCGGACCACACGCCGGCGAAGACGACGCTCCCGACCCACGCGAACCCCACCGTGCACACGCCGACGAGGGAGAAGAACGCCGCCTCGTACCCGTGCGGGATGCACTGCTGGAATATCCCGCGGAGCATCGGTAAGATGCACGGATTGACGAGACCCGCTACGGCGGGCAGCGCGAAAATTTCCCACCGGCTCTTCATGCCGATGAACAGCCACAGCGGCCAGATCGGCGTGAGCGCTTTCAACCCGAACAACGTCCACTTCATCGGGCTCGGCCGCAGCTTCCGCACGATCGGCACCGCGGTCGTCGTGGACACGATCGACGTGACCGTGACGACGAAGAGCACGATGATCACGTCCGTCGCCGTGGCGTTCAACTCCCTCTGCACGAAGACGACGTAATTGGCGATAACCGTCGCGTTCGTGATGACGCTCAGCGTGTGTCCCAATAGGAGCCGCACGAGCTGCGGGTGATGCTCCACGATCATCTGCACGCTGAGCCGCGTCCGTCGGAACCCTAACGTCGAAAACGCGTGCGCTTTCGACGTCCCGGGGGAAATCACAAACGGCGCCGCCGGCCGCGGGCGCAGCGACCGCGCGCCGAGAAAAGACAACGCGAAGGCCCACGCGCCGGCGAACACTACGCACGCGCGCAGCGCCCACGTCTGATCGCTCACGGCGATCACGCACGCGGCCTGGACGACGATCACGAAGAGCAGCGACACGAACCCGAGCGAGATGGTGACGAACGCGAGCTCCGACGCGACGGACTGCCGCGTCGCCTCCACCTTCGCGTCGATCGAATTCGAGTCGAAGAAGATCGCGCGCGACGACCCCTCGCCGCCCTTTTGCTCGGCGTCGTCGGAGGAAGACCCCGCGAGTTGAAGTGTCGGATATTTTCCGACACTTTCACTTTCTCCGACCTCGTACTTCGACCCGCCGTTCGCGCCGTCGTCGTCGCCGTCGCGCCCGCCGCCGCCGCCGCGCTTCTTCTTCGCGATTTTGTTCTTCGCGTCTTCCTTCTTCATGAAACACGCGGTGAGCGGATACTTCCCCCCACCCGGATCCTCCTCGCCTCTCCCCACCGCGAGCGACCGCCAGTGCGCCATCGACAGCAACGGCAGGTACGCGTCGAACATCTGCTGCGCGGTGAGCAACGCGACGATCGTGACGACGTAGAAGACGGCGTCCGCGGGGTACATCGTCGAGACGTCGGACGCGGCGTGGAAGGAGACGGACGCCATCGCGGGCACGGAGAAGAGCGCCCACCCGAGGACTGCGTGAGGGAAGAAGTTGTTGTTTCAGGGGTGAAGTTCAAAGGCGTCAGGGTGGAGTTGAAAGGCGTCGAGGCGCGTCTTCTGGATTGAAACCGTCTAGGGGTGGACGGAGAGTGACGAACGCCGGGAGAGAAAGTCCTTAAGGATCGGCGTTCGCCACGCCGACGCGGTCGTACGGGGACCAGTGTGACTCGAACGCGCCTAAGCCTTTGTACCGAAACGAGCCGAAGTCGCCGAGCGTGCCGAAGAAGACGAGGATCAAGCCGCACGCGAGCTGCGCGCTGACGTTGCAGAAGACGACCACGGTGCCGTAGTCGACGTCGTTCGGGCCGACGTCGCCGTTCACGGGGAACCACTCGCACGCGCTGTCCATGCCGTCCGGGCGCTCGAACTCCATGGACGGGTACAGGTCGCGATCGTATCGAAGGCACCCGGCGGTCCCGTAGCAGACGCCCTCGCAGACGTCGCCCGCGGCGTGGACTTTCCTCCACGCGATCCCTTCCGCGTTCCCCGCGGCCTGCTCTTTCGCGAGGAGCGTGATCAGGAGCGACCAGAACGAGATCGCCGTGACGCCTATCGGGCTCGAGCCGCTGCGGGGAAGAGGGCATCCGTCCAGTCGCGCGAGGGATCGGAGCGGAGGGAGGGCGTCAGATTCTGTGCGGCGGGCGCGCGCTGCTGATTTGATTTATGCGCGAAAGGACGCGGCGAGGGCTGCGCGCGTCGGGGACGCACCAGTCGTACAGGAACCAGCTCAGGATCTCGCGCTCGTCCGTCGGCTCCGTCGTGTGGTCTTCCATCGCGCCGTCGACGTCGTCGGCGTCCGCGGACGCGGGCTCCGCGTCCGCGTCGCGTCGAGGCATCTCGGCCCTTAAATTAATCGTCGGAGGAAGTGTTAACCCTGATTGATGTTGACTTCGCGCTCCGTCTCGCGCCTTCGTCGTCACGGACGCGCCGTCGTCATCGATGCGCGCGCGCTGCGTGAAGGTCCCTCGAAGGGTTCCGTCGCGGAGCCAGACGCGTGCGGGGTCCGCGCGCGCTGCAAACACTGCCCCGCCGCGGAATCGCGGACGTCCCTCGACACGCACGTGAAAGGATGGGAAAAGCAAACAGACAGAACAGAGGGACCAAATCTTCTCTCCGACAGGTTTTATGCTCTCCGACAGGTTTATGCGGGACTGCACATATTGTGACCAACGCAACGTCGTAACAATTTTCATCGCGCGTCCCCCTCCAGAGCGGACGCGCGGCATGGACGCCATGCGCGCGCGCCGCGACGAGGTCGAGGCGACGCGCGCGTTCGCCGAGCATTACTTCCGGCGCTGGGACGACGCGCGGCACGAGAGCCTCGCGACGAGAGCTCTCGCGCGCGCGTCCGCAGACGTCCGCGCGATGTCGAACGCGCTCCTACTCGGGGGCGTCCGCGACGTCTCGCGTCGCGACGCCGCTCTCCGCGCGATGTGGACGCGCTGGATCGCGTACGTCTCCCTCCGCGAGCTCGTGCCGAGGCTCTGCGGGGATCTCGTGCGGCACGACTGCGCGATCGTCGCGTGGAAGCACTGGGTCTACGCGACCGAGGACGCGCTCGCGCGGTCGCGCGTAGCGACCGAGATGGGCGCGAAGGCGCGCGAGCGACGCGCGAGAAGCGAGAAGCGAATCGACGCGCGCGGCGTGAACGCCGCGCGTTTGAGGAACCTCTCCGCGGCGAGACGCGAGCGGCAGGACGAGGTGTGGGGGTTCCACATGGACGCGCGCCCGCCGGGCGGGGGATGGAGGAAGCGTCGCGAGGAGGCGAAACGCGCGAAGAGAGCGGCGGGCGACGACGACGACGAACGCGAACGCGAACGAGACGACGACTCGGACGACGACGCGCGCGTCGTCATGGACTTCGAGGCGCACTCGCACACGACGAGGGCGTGGCGCGCGTGGAAAGACGCGAAGAAGGCGCGGCTTCGCGACGAGGACGCGACCGCCGCGCTGCTCGCGACCGCCGAGGCGGCGAGGGAGGGAATGCGAGCGCGCGTCGAGGCGCGCGCCGCCGCGCGCGTCGAGGACAAGCGTCGACAGCTCGAGCGCGTCGCGCGAAAGAAGTCGCTCGAGCGCTTCGCGAGCGAGCTGAAAGGTCGCGAGCTCGAGCTTAACGCCGCGGACGGGTCGCGCGTGACGTACGTCGCCGCGGTGAAGCTCCAGTCCGCGGTCAGAGGATGGCTCGAGCGAAGACGCTACGAGAAGAAAAAATCGAACCCGTTTGAACGCGTCGCGGGGTTGAGGGAGCTCCTCGACCGCGGCGATCGCGCGTTCAGCGCGCAGGAGAGGGTGCTTTTGAAAGCGAAAGACGACTGGGCGGCGAGCGAGCGGCGGTTGACGCGGATGATGCTGACGAACGACGACGCGATCGCGGCGTTGCGCGTCGCGACAGAGACGTTGAGGCGAGTTCTATACACTGGTTCCCATACGACCGCGTCGGCGTGGTGAACGCCGATCCTTAAGGACTTTTGCCGGCACATCTCTCCGCCCACCCCGCGCTTTCAATCCCCGCCCTCGACGCCTTTCAACTCCAACTGACGCCTTTCAACTCCACCCCGACATTCGCTTGTATGGAACGACCCTGAGGCTCGGCGACGACGCGAGGGCGCGAAACGACTGCGACGCGCGGTGGGCGAAGCGACGCGCGTTGATCGACGACATCGTCCGGAAGCAGGCGCTGTACACGGAGCACGTCGGCGCGGACGTCGACGAGAACGGGACGCCGACGCCGACGCCGACGCGCGCGCGGAGGAGGATCGGTCGCGGTGCCTACGCGCCGGCGGGGAGGACGCTCGGCGAAGGCGGCGGCGAAGGCGGCGGCTTCGACGACGGGACGGCCGCGCTGATGAGAGGCGCGCCGCGGGACCGCGCATTGTCGCCTCTAGTCACGAGCGAGAAGAGTAGGATTCGATAGTAGAACATATCGTTACGATAGCGAACGATGCGGTTAACGGCGCGCCGCGGCTGCCCCCCCCGGAGGGGATGTTTAGGTTTCTTCGCGCGCCTCGATGTCGAAGTCGTCAACTCCGAGCAGCTGAGTGAGAACTGAAGGAGGTTTTAGGGATTTGGTCCTCCCTGCCAGTCCGAGGCGCGCGGGTTCGACGAGGGCGATGTCCGCGGCCGCGGCGGCGCGAACGGCGTGGCGCGCGGACGCACTCCCGCGGCCGCGCCGGATTCGGAACGCGCGTCGTCGCCGCGCGTCGTCGTCGTCGTCGTCGTCGTCGTCATCGCGGTCGTTCCGATCCCCATCGTGTTCGTCGTCGTCGTCGTCGTCGTCGTCGTCGTCGTCGTCGCGCCACCAACCGCCGTGCGCGCTCGTCCTCGGGCACGACGCCGACGACCTCCTCGCGACCGCGCGCGCGGTAGAAGACGCGCTGCGCCCGCACGGCGTCCGCGCGCTGTGCCTCCTCCACCGCGACGCCGACGGCCTCGCGCGCGATGGCGAGAGGCTCGAGCTGACCCCAGGCCCGTTCCCGGGCTGCTGGCGCGTCGACGGCACCGGCGAGGGTGCGTTCTATACACTGGTCCCCATACGACCGCGTCGGCGTTGTGAACGCCGATCCTTAAGGACTTTCCCGGCGTCTCTCTCCGCCCACCCCTCGCGTTCAATCCCCGCCCTCGACGCCTTTCAACTCCACCTGACGCTTTTCAACTCCACCCCGCCGCATTCGCTCGTATGGAACGACCCTCAGACGCCGCGCTGTGCGGCCTGGACCCAGCCTCCGGGCTCGCGTATGAACTCGGTCTCTCGTGCGTGCTGTGCGTCGTGGGCGCGACGCGAGAGCCCGCGCTCGGAGAGGACGCGGATGGGTCGCGGTGCGTGCGCGCGGGGCGGCGCGCTGCGGTGTGCGGGACGCCGACCGTCGTGTGCGCGACGCCGACGACGTCTAAGCGCGCGCCGATAACGCCCGCGATTGAGGCGTTACGTACACTCCTTCTGACGATCGCGGCGACGACGAGCGGTGCCAAGACAACACCGGTCGTGTCCATGACGCGCGCCGCGAACGCGCCGCGGTCGCACTTCCCGTTCCCGACGAGATTACGGTGGGCGGCGCTCGGCACGGACCAGGCGCGTTCTACCTCACACTGGTTCCCATACGACCGCGTTCGCGTGGTGAACGCCGATCCTTAAGGACTTTTCCCGGCGCGTCTCTCCGCACATCCCTCGATGGTTTCAATCCCGACACACCTCGATGCCTTTCAACTCCGTTTCTGACGCTTTTGAACTCCACCCCGACGTTCGTCGCTTCGTATGGACCCTCGACCCTCAGTTGCCCGCCGGCGACGCCGCGTTGACGAGGGAGGTGTTCGAGACGTCGAAGGCGCTCGAGGACTTCGCCGCGAGCGATTGCTGGTCGTTGGGCGGCCACGGCGCGGTCGTCGTGACGAGCACGAGCGGCGGCGAGGGGAACGAAGAGAGGGGGACGAAGGCGACGACGTACTCGGCGCTCGAGACGCGCGAGGTGCTTCGCGACGCGTTTCGCGACGGCGACGTGTTCGCGTTGCTCCACGTCCCGCCGACGTGGACGGCGGAGAGAGGGTACGCGTCGTGTCGGCCGGGGGTGTTGTGGCGGCAGCAGCGCGCGAGGGCGGTCCGTGACGGCGGGGGTGCCGACGGGGGTGCCGATGGGGGTGCCCACGCCCGCGCGGACGCGTGGGGCCGGACGCTGCCGTCGCAACGTTTGGGAGAGACGCGCGCGAGCGAACGCGACGCGCGGTTCGTGCCGCAACTCGCGACGGACGCGCTCGTCGCGTCCACGTCCACGTCCACGTCCATGGCATCGTCCACGTCGGATAGTATCGTTGGAGGTGACACGTGTCGTGAATCGATTAGCTCGCGCGCGCCGAGCGCGTTCGTGATTGGCCCGGGAACGATCGTCGCGGACGACGCGCCGCGCGGGGACGTCGACGTCGTCTTCGCGTCCGACGGGGGCGGCGCCGCGGTGGTGACGAAACAAACGTGGCCGCAAGGGCACCCGTTCGCGCTTCTCGACGCCGTCGCCGTGGAGGCGCTGCGGGGGGACCCGAACGCGGGGGGGTTGCCTCTGTGGCTCACCGGCGGGTAGCGAGCGCGACGGATGAGACGGGCGCGGGCTAAGGAAGTACGGAAGTTCCGTACGAAGGTAGCTAGGTTAACTAGACTAAGGATACCGCGCGCCTACTTCTAAGAAGGTCACGTCTCCGCGACCGCGGCGCGCGGCGCGCCGTCCCCGACGTATCGGTAGCACAAGTTCGTGATTCGCTCGCACCCCGACGCGATCCCGCGGCGCTCGTACTTGGTCTCGACCTCTCTCCCGGGGAGAATCACCCCGCCGTCGTGTGAGCATCTACCCTCGTCGCCGCCGATACCGTTCGTCTTCGCCGCGTCCTCATCGTTCTCGTCCACAACCTCTTCCGTCCACCTCCCCGTCGCGCACGCGTCTTTCATCACCGCGCGCATGTGCGCGCCGTAGTCGCGGTCGTCCGTCCTCAGGTGCAACCGCGCCGGCGGCGACGGCGACGCGGGCCCTCCCTCGGAGACTTTCATCGCGCGCTCGACGAGGGAAACGAGAAACGGATTCACGATCCTCCGGTGCACCTGCGGGGTGGAGTTGAAAGGCGTCAGGTGGAGTTGAAAGGCGCCGAAGGCGGGGATTGAAAGCGTGGGATGGGCGGAGAGAAACGCCGGCAAAAGTCCTTAAGGATCGGCGTTCACCACGCCGACGCGGTCGCATGGGGACCAGTGCGTAGAACGCGCCTGCGCGTCGCTCCACGGCTCGGGAAAGTACACGCACACGTCCGTCAGCGACGCGCGCGGGATGAAGTCGCGCAGCAGCCACAGCGCGTCCATTCGAACCACCTTGACGCGTCTCGGGTCGACGTTCGCGGCGGCGAGTTTACCTAACGCCGCGCCGACGCCGGGCTTGTGCACCTGAGCGTCGTCGCCCATACGGGGTGGAGTTGAAAGGCGTCAGGTGGAGTTGAAAGGCGTCGAGGGCGGGGATTGAGACCGTGGTGTGGGCGGAGAGAGACGCCGGGAAAAGTCCTTAAGGAATGACGTTCACCACGCGAACGCGGTCGTATGGGGACCAGTGTGGACGCCGGGCTTGTGCACCTCCGCGCCCAGGAAGCATCGCTCCGGGTGTCTCTCGCACATGCGCGTCAGGGAGTCGCCCAGGCCGAAGCCGATCTCGAGGACCACGGGCGGCGGTTTCGCCGTGATGAGCGCGTCCCCGTCCCTCCTCGGTGTCGCGTCCGGGAAGACGTCGCGGAAGAGGTCGAGGCGCGGCGGCGGCCCCGCGCCGCCGGAGTGTGTCACGATCTCGAAGCCGTAGAGACGCCACGGGTCCCCGCGGAGCGCGCGCTTCTGCGCGGCGGTGATCACGCCGCGCTTGCGGAGGTACGTGAGGTGCCACGGGCGATCTAAGTGCTTCCCGCGGACGCGCGTGCGCAGGAGCGCGGACGAGGAGGACGAGGGCGCGTCGTCGTCGTCGTCGTCGACCGCGTCGGGCGGGCGGGCCCTGGCGTCGGACGCGGTCGTCGTCGTCGACGTCGAGAGAGACTTCGACGACGACGACGACGACGACGCGTCTCTTCCGCCCGCGCGGCATCGCGCGGCGTCGAGCCGCTCCGCGTTTCGATGCGACGGCCGCGTCGCGCGGATCCTCGCGAGGAGGAACCGCGGCGGACGAGCCCCCGCCAACGCGGCGCGCATCGATTTCTGATGATGCCTCTCTCGGAAAGAGCCGTTTTCGTTCACAGCAACGACAGACGAACGATGTCAGCAGCGCCGCGACGCCATTCGCGCGCGGCGCCGGAGCGAGGTGTGCCGGGATGCAGATCCGGCACGTGAAGACCGTGCTCCCCCCGGGGGAGCGGGTGAACAAATGCACCGCGATCGCGTGGTGCGTCGCGCGCCTCGTCGCCCACCGCGACCGCGGCGCGTCGGTCAGATCGCGCGCGACGGCACCCGCCGTTCAAATGAATGATGTTTCCTTTCTTCGCCGCGGTCAACCCATCGTCGTCGTCGTCGTTCGTCGTCCGTCCCCATCCCCTTCCCGCTCACCCGCGCACCACCCCCCTCGCGCGTCGCGTTGTCCTCAGGAGCCCGAACGCGAAGCGCATGGCGTGCGTCACCGTGGACCGCGTCGTCCAGCTCTTCGACGACGCCGGGACCAAGCGCGACAAGTTCAGCACCAAGCCCTCCGATCCCGCCGGCCCGAAAACGTTCCTCGTCCGCGGCCTCGCGTTCTCGCCCGACTCCACGAAGCTCGCGGTCGCGCAGAGCGACAAGATCGTCTTCGTGTACAAGCTCGGGAGCGAGTGGGGGGATAAGAAATCCATATGCAACAAGTTCGCGACGTCCAACGCGGTGACGTCGCTGACGTGGCCGCGAGGGAGGCATCACGAGCTCGTCTTCGGCACCGCGGACGGCAAGGTACGCACACGACGCGTCGCGCGCTCCACCACACGATATGCCACGTCATCATCCCGAAGAAGATTATGTGTGTTTCGGCCAATAGAATCATCACGTCTTTGACCCGAAGATTGTGTTTCGACCAATAGCGTCACGTCTCTGACCCGAACGCGCCGATCGAATCGGATCCCTCCGCGCGCAGGTGAAGATCGGCGCGTTGAAGACGAACAAGGCGGCGACGGCGTACGCGCACCCGGACAAGTCCTACGTCGTGTCCATGTCGCACTCCCCGGATGGCGGCAGCGTCTGCGTCGGGCACCTCGACGGAAGCGTATACACGTTCGCGTTCTCCGACGGCGTGGCCGGGAAGCTGACGAACCACGGCTGCGCGCCGACGTCGCTCTCGTGGGGCGCGCGGGGGTTCATCTGCGCCGGCGGCGCCGACGCGAAGATTGCGTTTTACGAGACCCACGCGTCCGCTAACCTCGCGCGCGCGCCGCAGGTGTTCGACCTCGGGAACGCGCGCGACTCGAGCGCGGGGAAAGAGGTGGGCGCGCTCGCGTTTAACCCCACCGGGGACGTGGTCGTCGTCGGCACGTACAACAAATTTTACGCCTTCGCGTTCGACGCCTCAGCGATGACGAGAGGATGGAAAGAGCGAGGGAGTAAACTCGTCGAGTGCCTGTACGCGGTCACCGCGCTCGGGTGGAAGCCGGACGGCAGCAGGATCGGGTTGGGCGCGGTGTCCGGCGGCGTGGACCTCTTCGATCTGTGCGTGAGAAAGTCGCGGCACGGAGACGCGTTTGAGTTCACGCACGTGAGCGCGTCTAACGTTCTCGTGAAGCGTCTGGACGGCGGCGCGACGATCGTGTTCGCGTCGAAACACGGCCACGAGATTGGGAAGATATCCGTGCACAGAGGGCGGTACCTCACCGCGCGGACGGACGAGACGCTTCTGTGCGGCGACGTCGAGACGGCGAAGGTGTCCGAAGTCGCGTGGACCTCCGGAGGGAGCCGCCGCGGCGGCGGCGAACGCGAGCGGTTCGACTTTGAGACCGAGCGCGCGTGCGTCGTGCACCACGACGGCGCGCTGTTCGTGATCGAGTACGGCGTGGACGAAATCTTAGGGACGTGCCGCGCGTCGCACCGCGCGTCGCACCTCTTGTCCGTCCGCGTGAACGAGGCCAAAACCAGAGAGGGCGGCGGCGGCGGCGTGAAAAAAATCGCGCACCTCGTCGACGCGCAGACGATCCGCGTCGCGGACCTGGGCGGCGATGCCGCCGCGGACGACATGCCGATGGCAGGCGCCGCGCGTCGAGGAGGGTCGCGCGCGCGCCACGGCGACGCCGTCACGATCTCGCACGACGCGAAGGTGGATTGGCTCGAGCTTAACCAACGCGCGACGCACTTGTTGTTCCGGGATAAAAAGCGCGCGCTGCACCTGTACGACATCGGCGCGCGGCGGCGCCACACGCTTCTGAACTACTGCTCGTACACGCAGTGGGTGCCCGGGTCCGACGTCATCGTCGCGCAGTGCCGACAAACCCTGTGCGTGTGGTATTCCGTGGACTCCCCGGATCGCGTGACGAACGTTCCGATCAAAGGCGAAGTCGAGGGCATCGAACGCGGGAAGGGCCACACGGAGGTTGTCGTCGATGAGGGCGCCTCCACGACGTCCTACGCCCTGGACGAATCCCTCATCGAGTTCAACTCCCTCGTCGAGGACGGCGACTACGACGCCGCGGTCGAGGCGCTGGAATCGCTCGCGTTGACCCCGGAGACGGAGGCGATGTGGACGGAGCTCCGAGCCGCGGCGACGGCGGATAATATGTTGCTCGTCGCGCGTCGATGCGCCGCGGCGTTGGGGGACGTCTCCGCCGCGGAATTTTTAGGTGGCGTGCTCAAAGACGCCGCCGCCGTCGCCGTGGACGTCGCGAACGACGCCACCGGGTTGGAGCACTTCCGCGTGAAGGCGTCCCTCGCGATGATGCAACGGCGGTGGAAGGTCGCCGAGGCGTTGCTCGTCGAGAACGGCCGCGTCGACGACGCGATTTCGATGTACCGCGAGATGCATCGCCTCGACGACGCCGTGCTTGTCGCGGAGAGCTCCGGGAGGGGCGGCGGCGGCGGCGGCGGCGCGGGCGCGGGGGGCGGCGCGAGTCCCGAGGACGTGCGCGAAGAACGCGCGCGATGGCTGGAGGAGACTGGGCAGGAGGCGGAGGCGGCGGCGGTGAAGGAGCGCGATGGCGACGACCTCGGCGCGATCCGTTTGTACCTCCGCGGAGGTCTCCCCGGCCGCGCCGCGGGGGTCGTCATCGCGCGGGTCGATGCTAAAAACGGCCACGGTCGAAACGTTACCGACAACGTCTTCGATGAGGGGACGATACGGGACGTCTTCGCCGGGCTCGCGCGCGGGGAGCTGCACGAACGCGCGGGCGAGTTATCCGAAGCGTTGGGGAGGACGAAGGACGCGTTGGCGTCGTACGTCGCCGCCAACGCGTTTCGCCGCGCCGTGGACCTGTGCGCGAGACCGGGCTCGGGGTTGGACCACGAGGTGCCGTTCCTGGAGGAGAAGTGGGGCGATCACCTGTTCGAGAGCAAGCAGTTCGAGCAAGGGATAAACCACTTCCTCAACGCGGGGCAGGCGCACAAGGCCATCGAGTGCGCGATCGAGGCGAGGCACTGGAAGAAAGCCGCCGAGATGCTCGAGAAGGCGACGAAGCGCGGCGGCGGCGACGCGTCTCGACACGAGCATCAGTACCTTCGCCTCGCGCGGCACCACGAGAGCGTCGACGACGTCGACGACGCGGAGCGGTGCTTCCTGCGCGCGTCCGCCCCGGGCGAGTGCGTGGAGATGTACGCGCGCCTGGACCGGTGGGACCGAGCGCACAAGATCGCCGTCGGGTACATGACCGACGCGGACGCCAAGGCGTTGTACGTGAAGCGAGGGCGAGAGCTCGAGAGCAACGGTCGGTACGCGGAAGCGGAGAAGGCCTACGTCGCGGTGAACGAGCACGACACGGCGATCGCGATGTACGAGAAGCACGGCCAGCACGCGCACGTGCTTCGACTCGTGAGTCAACACCGGCCGGAGACGCTCCGAGAGACGCGCGCGCACCTCGCGACGACGATGGAGAACGACGGGAACTATCGCGACGCGGAGCGGCAGTACGTCGAAGCCGGGGACTGGAAAGCCGCGGTGGCGATGTACAAGACGAGAGAGAAGTGGGAGGACGCGATGCGGGTCGCCAAGGCGCACGGCGGCGAGGACGCGTCCGTCGCGGTGTCCTACGCGTGGACGTCCGCGATGCCCGCGGAGGAGGCGGTGAAGACGTTGCGTAAACACGGCGTCGCGGAGGCGGCGGTGACGCACGCGTGCGACGCGGCGTACGATTTCGATCGCGCGCACGAGCTCGCGCGCGCGCTGTCGAGCCGCGCGCTCGTCTCCGAGGTGCACATGAAACACGCGATGCATCACGAGGACGAGGGGCGGTTCGTCGAGGCGGAGATCGCGTTCGTGAAGGCGGATAAACCAAAGGAGGCGATCGAGATGTGGATTCACGCGAAGGATTGGAAAGCCGCGATGAAGGTGGCGGAGGAGCACGACCCCGCGAGCGCGCTGGACGTGCAGCTCGCGCACGCCAAGGTGAGACTGGTTCCCATACGACCGCGTCGGCGTGGTGAACGCCGATCCTTAAGGACTTTGCCCGGCGCATCTCTCCGCCCACCCCTCGCTTTCAATCCCCGCCCTCGGCGCCTTTCAACTCCACCTGACGCCTTTCAACTCCACCAGGCGTGCGTCGAAGAGAACGACTTCCACCGAGCGGAGGGGTTGTACGTGAAAGCGCGGCGGCCCGAGCGCGCGATGAAGATGTACGCGCGGCGGGATTTATGGGAAGACGCGCTGCGCGTGTCGGCAGATTACCTCCCGAATCTCGTCTCGGAGCTCCAAGCGGAGATGCGACGGGTCAAAGCCGGCGGCGCGCGCGCGCTGAGCGCTATGACGGAGGACGACGACGACGACGCCCGCGACGCCGCCGCGGGGATCGATTCCGTGCCCTCGAGCGGCGACGCGGCAATCGGAGAAGGATTCTCGGACGCCGCGACGGACGCCGCGACGGACGCGAACCGTCGCGACGGTTCGGTTCCCGAGTGCGTCGCGCGCGGGAAGAGGCTCGAACGCGAGGGCAACTACGCCGCCGCCGTCGACGCGTTCCTCGAGATGACGCTCAAGGTGACGAAGGACACGAACGCGCTCGCGGACGCGTGGTCGACTGCGGTTGCCATCGCGTCGGATCACGTCCCCGGGAAGCACCGCGCCGTCGTCGTGGAGGTCGCGAAGCGCCTCCGGGACGTCGGGCGGAGCCGAGAGGCGAGGGATCTGTGTGCCTCTTCGGGGGTGGATCCGAATGCGCCGCCGCCGTCCGATTCCGTCGCGCGGCGGTCTTCCTCATCCGCGTCCAAAAACGCAGCCGACGTGGACTTGCGAGAGATGGGCTTATCCTCGCCCCCCGGCGGCGGCGGCGCGGGCGCGAGGACGATCGCGGCGACGACCTCGACGCTGTCTCCCGGAGGGAAAGCCTCCGTCGCCGCCGCCGAGGACGCGGCTCGACGCGGCGACTGGGACGCCGCGCACGCCGCCGCCGCCGCCGTCTCGCCGGACGTCGCGGCGACGTTCAGCGTCAAGCACGCGACGATCGAGCTGCGCGGCGGCTCGCCGGCGGCCGCCGCGGAGGTTCTCGCGACGCACGGGGTGTTACACGACAAGGGATGTTACGCCCTGTACGAAGAGATCGCCGCGGGCGTCCTCGCCGGCGCGCGAGACGGCGACGCCGACGACGGAACGCCGCGCCTGAAGGCGTTTTTACTGACGCTCGTCACCGGGATGGAGGCAAGTTTTTTTCACTGGTCCCCATACGACCGCGTTCGCGTGGTGAACGCCGTTTCTTAAGGACTTTTGCCGTCGTCTCTTTCCGCCCATCCCCCCTTTCAATCCCCGACCTCGATGTCTTTCAACTCCACCTGACGTCTTTGAACTCCACCCCGACATTCGCTCGATGGAACGACCCTACAGGCGACGCCGGAAATTCACGCCGAGTCGCTCAAGCGTCTGCGCAAGTACCTCGACGCGTCGCACCTCGCGTGCGTTCGCGCGGACGCGAAGAGCGTTGGGTTACGCGCGATATCCGCCAAGGCGGCGACGGCGGCGCTGCGTCACGTGTGCGAGATTCCCGCGGATCGCGCGTTTTTTCAAGCCGGCGTCGCGTGCCGCGACGCCGGCGACGCCAACCACGCGTTTGTCTTTCTCAACCGGTACCTGGACATCACCGAGGCCATGGACGAGGGCGACGTCGACTCCAGGGGGCTGGACGATGTCGACTTCGAGACCGCGGCGTCGGACCTCCCGTCGCGGTTCCCGCTCCCGCGCGAGCACTTCGTGAAGAACGAGGCGACGCGCGAGGAGATTCGCGACTGGGTCCTCGCGCACTCCATGGACGCCGCCGTGGACCAGACGTTGTTGCAGGCGCGTTCATGGTCACACCGGTCCCCATACGACCCCGTTCGCGTGGTGAACGCCGATCCTTAAGGACTTTCTCGACTTTCTCTCCCGGTTTTCGTCACTCTCCGCCCACCCCTCGATGGCTTGGTTTCAATCCCGACACACCTCGACGCCGCCTTTCGACCAACTCCGCTTCTGACGCCGTTCGACTCCACCCCGACGACGTTCGTCGCTTCGTACGGACCCTCGGCCCTCGTCAGCGCGTCTGCGACGGATGCGGGCGCGACACGTACGTCGCCGCGCTGACGTGTCACCGATGCGCGTCCACCGCGGACGCGTGCGTCGTGACCGGGTACCCGGTGCCCGCGGGGGAGCGCGTGACGGCGGGCGCGGGGCGGCCGGCGCGGCGGGAGGATTGGAACGCGTGGACGGGAAAGTTCGGGACGGATCCGTGGACGGGGAAGGAGGGCGCGACGCCGAAGCACTGAGAGGTTGAGCTGCGATGCGATAGACTATACAGTACACTATGGTCATTCGTTCGTTCGTTCGTTCGTCTAGGGTACACGTACACGCAGTCTAGTCGTCTATTACTCCGGCGGCGGCGGCCACTGTTTCGTGTTCTCGTCGCCGCGTTTATTACGTTTCGTCGTCGCCGCGCCCGGCTTTTTCCTTCGCTTCTTCGTCGTCGTCGCCGGTTCCGCCGCCTCGGTCGCGTCGGCGTCGTCGTTCGCCTTCGTCTTCGGTTTCTTCATCTTCTTCTTCTTCTTTCTCTTCTCCTCCGCCTCTGCCGCCGCTCCCGCCGCTCCCGTCGCCTCCGTCGCCTCCGTCGCCTCCGCGCTCGGCGCCGCGCGCGCCTTCTTCAGGCGCTTCCGCTCCGCTCTGCTCATCCGCGCGTGATCGTATCGAACCGGTCTCCGCCGCGCGTCGTCGCCTCCGTCATCGCGCGCGTCCCCGTCGCCGTCCGCGTCCACCTCGCGCGATCTCGCTCTCTTCGCCGCCGCGACGTCCGCCGCCTTCGCCTTCGCCTTCGCCGGCGCCGCGCGCGATGACGGCGCCTCCGATCCCCCCGAGCGAAAGCCTCCGTCGCCGCCGCCCACGATGAGCTGCTCTCGGAGCGACGCGAGGAGCGCCGCCTCCTTGTGCGTCAGCGCGCCTCCGCCGGCGCTCTTCGCGGATGACGACGCGCGCTCGCGCTCTTGCCGCTCGAGCGCCTTGCGGTTCGCCGCCGCGACCGCGATGCCGCTGAACCGCGACCCGGACATCGGACGCGCGCGCGCGAAGACGACTGACGAGTGGCTGGATGTCAACTACAGGTACAACGTCAACTGTACGAAAAATGCATCATCGGTCAGTTGAAAGGGGGCGCGATCAAATATTGAAACCGATGAATGGGTGAAAAACTTTTGTCCTTCGTGTCGCGAGAGTTCCGAGACTTCCGAGACGGGTTCCCCCGGCGGTGCAGTGCAGATCGCGCGGGGAGTCGAGAGCGCGCGCGCGCGGACGCGATGGGCGCCGCGCGCGCTGTGCTCATTCCGCGCATAAAACCCCGGTCGAAGCCGAAGACGCGGCGGCGTCCGAGAGCGGCGACTCGCGACCGCGGTGGGTGCGCGTCGTCGTCGTCGTCCGCGCCGGTCACGCCGCAGCAGTCGTGTGGCGGGTCCGATCGCCGACGCGGACGTCTCGACGGATCCGCCGCGTCCGGGGGACCCGCGACGCACCGCGCGACGCCGGCGCCGCACGTCCGCGAGCCGCTGACGCCGCTGACGCCGAACGCGCGATCCGACGCGCGCGCGACGGCGAACGCCCCGAAGAACGACACGGACGACGCGACGCGCCACAGAGAGACCGCGGCGAGGAGCGCGAGGGCGGAGGGGACGAGAGCGGTGCGCGCGGCAGTCGAAGCGGATCGCGACGGATTCGTACGCGCCGCGGTGAAGGGCTACGCGACCGCGATTCGGAAGCTGTCGACGTACGTGTCGCTCGAGCGCGACGACGCGGCGAAAGAGGGCGTGGTCGCGAAGGTGGCGCAGTACACCGCGCGTTTGGAGAGGCTGCGGGAGGTGTTGAAGATGCGCGAGGAGGAGGAGGAGGAGGAGGATGAAGACGGCGCCGACGACGACGCCGACGACGACGACGACGCCGACGACGACGATGACGCCGACGACGACGCGAAAGAGAACGATGACGGCGGAGCGAAGAAAAAGCGAACGCCGACGACGACGTTCGTCGTGAAGCCGCGTCGAGGACGGTCGGTTCGAGGGGGGGGCGCGCGGACGGGGACGGGGTCGGCGGGGGCGTTTTTGAAAAGAGAAGCGACAGCCGCCCGCGACGCCGACGCGGGAGCGGGGGAGACGTTCGCGTCCCCGGAGAAGAAAGGCGCGAGCGACGACGTCGACGTCGACGTCGCGGCGGCGGACGCGGCGACGGCGAGCGCGCCGGCGACGCCGCCGCCGCCGTCGTACGAGTCCGTCATGGCCTCGGACGCGTCTGACGCGTCTGACGACTCGGAGTTTGAACGCGGCGCGACGACGACGACGACGCGCGCGGCGAGCGCGCGCGCGTCTTCCGTCGTCGTCGCGTCCTCGTCCGAGAGTGGTTCATCGCTTTCGTCGTGGTGGTCGAGTACGGTCACGCAAATAACGCCTCATCTAGGGACGTTACGAGAGAAAACGAAGGAGACGCTCCGACCGGCGATGGAGAGACTCGCGATCGAGGCCAAGAAAACCGGCGAGCGGTTCCTCGCGGACCAGTTCCCGAGCGACGACGAGTACGAGAAGGAGTTTTTGAAGCTCGAAGCGCTCAGGAGGGAGACGGCGACGGCGTGAGTTGAAATGATTCATCATAGTTGAATCGAGTTTTGGCGGGGGGTATCCCTTTAGACCCGGTGTGTAGTTAACTACACATATTTCATCGGCGGTGTGTAGTTTACTACACGAAAACGCTCGGGTCTAAAGGGATAGGGTGGGTGCGGGCGAAGCTTCACGAGAAAGATCTTACGACGAATGCGTCGTTCTTTTCTCTTCATAACAACCTTATTACACCATCACGCGTGGTGATACGATGTCTCCTACGTGCGCGTTCGTTCGCGTCGTCCCCTCCCTTCCAACTAGTATCGCTCACTTTTTCCGCTTCGCCGCGAGCATCGCGCGGTTCTTCCGATCGAGCGCGTTCGCCTTTTCCCGCCGCGCCTTGGTCTCCTCCCGTCTCTTCGCCGCCGCCGCCGCCGCTTCCTTCGCATCCGCCGTCGCCGCCGCCGTCGCCGCCGCCGCGCTCGCGCTCGCGCTCGCGACCGAGGACGCGCGCATCGGCGCCGCGAGCGTGCGAGCGCGCGGCGGAAGAAACACCACCGGCGCGTGCGCTTGCGTATCGACCATCGCGTCTTCCTCTTCCTCCTCCTCCTCCTCCACCTCCGAGTCCGAGAGCTCTTCCATGTCGTCCGACGCGAAATCAAACGACGCCGCGTCCAGCGCGTTCGCGAGCGCCGCGAGCGACCGCCCGTCGACGGAGAGCGAGACGTTCTGATCGCCGCCGGCGGCTTCGGCTTCGGCTTCGGCTTCGACGGCGGCGGCTTCGACTTCGACGGCGACGTTCAAGTCCACGTCGGTCGTCGACGGCTCGTCGTCGTCCTCGTCGTCGACGACGGCGTAAGACACGCGCGCGTCCGACCTGAACCTCTCCGCGTCGTCGTCCACCTCGGAGTCGTCGCCCGCGTCCGCGTACCTCGACGACGACGCGTTCGTCGGGGACCCCGCGCTCGCGCTCGCGCTCGCGTTCGCGCGGGCCCCCGGGGGAAGAAGCAGCGAATCTTTCCACTCGTTGTCGAGCGCGCCCAAGGCTCGCGCCCACGACGAGTCCGCGTCGTCCTCCGCCGGCGCGGCGTCTTCCGCGGGGGGACCGTCGACGCCGGCGACGACGCCGCCGTTCAGCCTCGACGACATCGCCGCGGCGACGCGCGAGGAAATCTCAGACTTTTCCGCGCGCGGGTTCGCCTTCACCGCCTCGGTCGCCAAGCTCGACGCCAACTCCGCGATGTCGACGGGCAACCCGCCGCGAATCGCCGCCGCGTACACTTCCTCCGCGTCCACCACCGACGTCGTCGTCGCGGCGCCGCGCACCGCGGGAGTAGCGCTCTCGTAGCGCAGGTTCCGCGTCACGCCGCTCTCGAACGCTCCGCCGGCGTCCCTCTGCGGCGTGAGATCGTACGGATCCGTCCCCGCGCCGGCTTCGGAGAGAGGCGTCGGCGCCGTCGCCGCCGCGCCGCCCGGGCTCCGCGCCTCCGCCTCCGCCTCGCTCGCCGCCGACGCCGACGGCGGCGCGGAGTTGTTCGCCGCCGCGCTCGCCGCGGCGTACAGCGCGCTCGTGTTCAAATCCACGGCGGCTGCGTCTTCGCCGGAGGACGACGACGCGGGAGGCGCGCGATCGCTCAGCGCGCCGGCGACGACGGCGTCAAGGGTTCGGACCCGCGCGCCGAGCGCGCCGAGAACGTCGTCCAGGTCCTTCAACTCCGGGATGTTCGTCCGCGTCGGGAGGTTCACGCCGCTCGCGTCGTCCATCGCGGACGCTTCCGCGCGCTGCAGCGTCGCCTCCGCGACCGCAGCGGCGGCGGAGACCGCGTCCATAGCCTCGGACGTTTTCGCCAGCGACGCGAGCATCTCTCGCTCCGCCGCGCCGCTCGAAGAGCTCCCGCCGCCGATCGTCCCCGTCGCCGTCGTCGTCGTCGTCGTCCCGGTGCCGGTGGTGCCGGAGCTCGAGGAGCGCTTCTCCGCGCTCCCGAACGCGCGCGCGCGAGAGGGCGACGCGACGTCCGCGTCGTCCATCGTCGCGGAGAAAATGTTCGCGGTGTTTTCATCCGAGACGTCCACCGTGCGGTCGTAAAAGCCCCCGCCCGCGCCCGGACGCATCGACGTCTCGTCCAAGTCCAGGGATAAATTCCTCGCCATGGACTCCAGCCCCGTCGCGGTGACCTCCGTCGCGTTCGCGTCGTACTCAAACTTCCCGGGCGTGGGTTCGAGCCCGAGGAGGCCCTTCCTTCGGAGCTTCGCGCTCGCGGTGCCGACGGCTTTCGCCACGGCGGCGGCGGCGGCGGCGTCGCGGTTCCCTCCGCCCGGCGTCGCCTGCCCGGAGGAGCTCTTCGCCGCCGCCGCCGCCGCATTAATCGCGGCGTCCAGCGCGGCGTCGTCCTCGTCCTCGTTCTTGCTCTTGCGCTTGTTCGCGCTCCCCGCGCCGGCGCCGCGGCCCGCGCCGCCGCCGCCGCCGACGAAATCGTCGTCCGAGTCCGTCTCGCTGTCGTCGCTCAGCGTCTGCACGAACGTCACCGTCGCGTCGGTCGCCGGTCCCCTCGCCGCCGACCGACCGACCGACCGCGACGCCGCTGGCGCCGTCTCCCCGCGCGCGACCGCGGCGACGTCGATCCACTCCGCGCCCTCGGCGTCGTACCCCAGGTCCGCGTGCGTCTCCGCGTTCTTCGCCATGGCGATGATCTTCCGCAACGCGGCGTTGTTCTCCATCCTCTCCCTCGTCACGGCGTCGACCGCTTCCGCCTTGCCCGCGCCCTCGACGCGCCGCCATCGGTTCGCTTCCGCGTCGTCGTCGAACATGTCGTCGAACGGCTCCGCGTCGTCGAAGAACCGACGCTCGCCCGTCGCCGCCGGGGACTTGGGCGGCGGCTTCCCCGGCTCGTGCGACACGTGCGCGGCCATCATCGACTCTGGGATCCTCCCGGCGAGGATGTCCTCCGCAGCCTTCGCCGCCTCCGCGTCTTTCTTTTCCTTCGCCCACTTCCGTAGCAGCGGCGCGTGGACCATCCCGCCGCCGGCGAGGAGTTTGTCCACCTTTTCTTTGCGCTCCGCGCGGTCGAGCACTCTGAGCTCCTCTTTCAACCGTCGCATGTCCCTGTGCGCGTGGACAACCTTCGCGGCCGCGTTCGCGCGCTTCGCTTCCTTCGCCTTCTCCTTGCGAAGCTTGTCGAGGTCGTCGTCGCGGCCCTCCGCGAGCGCTTTTTCTTTCGCGAACGCCACCGAAAACGCATCCTTCGCCTTGGACGCTTCGTTTTTGTAATTCGCATCCTTCGCCGTAACGGATCTGCCCTTGACCTCGCTCGCCGCCGCCGTCGGCGCGCCCTTTCCGAGGACGTGCGCTTTGTGCTGCACGACGTATTTCCCTTGTCTGTGCGACCGTCCGATCGCGACGCCCTTGCTGTCGAAAATCAACCCGTTGAAGTGCGTCCCCTCGAACGATTTCGGGTTTTTGATCGTCAACGGCTTGGCGATGATGTCCAGCGTCTCCTTCTTGAGGTTCTCCACCAAGCACTTGCGCTCCTTCACCTTCGCCCTGGTCTCCGCGGTCCTCTCGAGGTACTCCGCCATCTCCCTCCTCGCGTCCGCCGCGAGTTTATCCGCCTTGACGCGTCTATCCCTCGCCGCGAACAGCGGCGAGTGAAGTTCGTCTCGCCGCGCGTACTCCTTCGCGAGCGCGCGTTCGAACCGCTCGAGCTCGCCCAGCGCGTCGTCGTGCTTCTCGAGCTTCTTGACGTGCTTCGCTTTCGCGAGCGGCGGCGCGAGCGACGCCGCGGCGCGCTGCGCGGCGCCGACGCCCGCGGCCGCGTTGGCGTAGTCCTCGTCCAGCTCCTTCTGCTTCGCCTCTCGCGCGCGCGTCCAACCCGCTCGGAGCTGATTCTCGAGCTCGCCGTGGTGCTCCTTGACGGAGCGCTGGAACTCTCGGACTTTGAACTTGGCCCACACCTTCTCTTGCTCGCGGACCTGCGCGAGGCGCTCAAGGCGCGTCGTCTGCGTCGCCTTCTTCAGCCTCGCGGACGCCTCCGCGGCGCCGAGTCGGTACGTCGATTTTTCCCGAACGATCTCGGACGCGCCGCGCGCGTCGTGCACGAGGCCGCCGCCGGGGGCCATGAGCGCGGCCTGGATGTCGTTCAGCGGCGGCATGTCGTTCGATGGCCACGGCGTGGACGCGCTCGCGTGCGCCATCGTGCGTGCGACGTGCGGGGAGGCGATGCCGCGGGGCGTTGTGCGCGACCGATGTCGGCAACTCCGACGACGCTCAACGGTTAAACGGCCCCAACGGCCGGCTGAGCCTATCAGGTGCGTTCTCTACACACGTTTTTCACCCATCCACCGGGTTCAATATTTGATCGCGCCCACTTTCAACTTTCCGATGAACTTAGGATATGATAGCTGAAATCATAATCAGCCACCTCGGTAAATAAAAGTAACAATGGCAGATCCTTCGGCGCGCCATGGCCGCCGCTCCGCCCGCCGCGAAGCTGTTCATCGGCGGCCGATGGGTCCCCCCCATCCACGGCGCGTCCATCCCCGTCGTGAACCCGCACGACGGCTCCACGATCGGCGCGATCGCGGCGGGAACGTCCGAGGACGTCGCGGCCGCGGCGTGGGCGGCGAAGCACGCGTTCGCGGAGTGGAGCGCCACGACGGGCGCGCACCGCGCGTCGATCCTCCGCGCGATCGCGACGGAGATCAAGAAACGCAAAGACGCGTTATCGTCCACGGAGACGAACGACTGCGGGAAGCCCCTGGAGGAGAGCGAGTGGGATATCGACGACGCCGCGGCGTGCTTCGAGTACTACGCGAGTCGATGCGAAGCGATCTTCGGATCGGCGTCCACCGCGTCCAAGCCCGTGTCGCTCCCCGACGCGTCGTTCCGAGGGACGCTCGTGAAAGAACCCCTCGGGGTCGTGGGCCTCATAACGCCGTGGAACTATCCGTTACTCATGGCGGTCTGGAAAGTCGCCCCCGCGCTCGCGGCCGGCTGCGCCGTCGTCTTGAAGCCGTCCGAGCTGGCGTCCTTAACCTGCCTCGAGCTCGCGGACGTCGCGCGCGTCGCGGGCGTCCCGCCCGGCGTTTTCAACGTGGTCACCGGCGCGGGCGCGGACGCGGGCGCGGCGGTGTGCGTCGCGCCCGGGATCGATAAGATCGCGTTCACCGGGTCGTTGGCGACGGGAAGGCGGGTCGCGCGCGCGTGCTCGGAGGAACCGAAGCCCTGCTCGCTCGAGCTCGGGGGGAAATCGACGCTCGTCGTGTTCGACGACGTCGACGTGGACGTCGCCGTGGAGTGGGCGATGTTCGGGTGTTTCTGGACGAACGGGCAGATTTGCAGCGCGACGAGCCGCGTCCTCGTGCACGAGCGCATCGCGGAGGCGTTCAAGAGGAAGTTACGCGCCGCCGTCGCCGGGATCGACGCGGGCGAGCCGCGCCGTAAAGGGTGCCGCCTCGGCCCTCTGGTCAGCGCGGGCCAGCGCGATAAGGTGTTAGCGTACATCGCGAACGGAATATCAAACGGCGTGGAGGTGCTGTGCGGGGGATGCGAACCGCCGCGAGGGAAGCACGTCCACGCGGCTGGGTACTACGTCGCGCCGACGATTTTTTGGAACGTCCCGCAGAGCGACCCGCTGTGGAAGGAGGAGATCTTCGGGCCGGTGATGTCCGTGAGGGAGTTTCGGGACGAGGACGAAGCGATCGAGATCGCGAACGACAGCGAGTACGGCCTCGCGGCGGCGGTGTTATCGAACGACGACGCGCGGTGCGAGCGAATGACGGGTCGGTTTCAGGCGGGCATCGTATGGCAACAGTGCTCGCAACCGTGCTTCGCGGAGCTGCCGTGGGGCGGAAAGAAACGCAGCGGGTTCGGGAGGGATTTAGGCGAGGACGGCATGGAAAAGTACTTGCACACGAAGCAGGTCGTGCGGTACGCGAGCGAGGAGCCGTTCGGGTGGTACCCGAGCTGTTCGAAGTTGTGACCCGCCCGCCGTCGATCATTCGATCGTTCGATCATTCTATATCATTCGATCCCTCTGTGCTTCTTGTACCTTCGCACCATGCCCAAGAACAACCGCGGGGCGTACGACCCGAGGAGGTAACGCAGCGCGAACGACGGGAGAAAACGCGTCAGCGCGGGAAGTTCCTCGACCGCGGTCAGCGTCGCCATTCGCCGGGCGTCGACGTTCTCTTTCGTCCCCTTCTCTCCGTCCTCCGCGGGCGTGACGATCCCTTTCCCGCACGTCGCGCCGCTCCCGAAATCCAGCGCGCCGGTGTTCGCGTCGTAGCTCCTGTACGCGTACGCCACCGCGCCCTTCGACGGCCAGTCTCTCTTCACGCGCAATCGCACCGTCGCCCGCATCGCCGGCAACATCGGCACCTTATACTCCGCGACGAACGCGTCTCCCTTCGCGCCGCCGTCCGCGTCGTCCGCGTCGTTCGCGACGCGTTTGAACGACGTCTCGGCGTCCCACGCGCTTCTCTCCTCGCACGTTGATAAGATCATGTCGACGTAGTCGTCGACGCCGAGTCCTAGCGCGGTGCACGTCGTCTTCGCGAGCGTCCGCCCGCGTTCCGCCGACGCCGCGGCGTCGTCTTCGGTCACTTCCGATTTCGCGGCGGCGACGACGGACGCGGCTTCGCCGGTGACGGGGACCTCCGTCCATCGTTCCGCGTCGTTCAGCATCCCCACGAGGTCGTTCAGTTCGTCGTCGAGCGTCCGGGAGAGAAGCGCGGGTGGACTCGCGGCCGCGGTGGGGGTCGATTCGTCCGCGGCGGCGGCGGCGGCGGCGGCGTCGAAGGCCGTCTTATATATCAGATCTCGTCGATCCTCTTCCTCCGACGTGGACGTCGACGCCGGCGGCCGATCGCTCTTCGTCTCGCCGACGACCTCGTCGTCGTCTTCCTCCTTCACCGCGCGCTTCGCGTCACCCTCCTCCGTCTTCGTCTCGTCCGCGGCGCCGACGACGGCGTCCGCGGCGTCGTCCTTCGCCTTCGTCAACTCGCCGTCGCGCGAGACGACGACCATGACGTCCTCATCGCGCGCGTCCGCGTCCGACGCACTCGTCTCCGGCGGCGTCGCTTCTTCCGCGTCCGCGCCGGTCGCGTGCTCGAGCGCGTCCTTGACGTCGCCGAGGTCGAACCCGTCGTCTGGCATCGCGCGCGCGCGCTCGAGAGTGCGCCCGGAGCGCGGCATCGCGTTCAAAACGACCTGCTGGACGCGACGGTTCGGACGACGCGTCGTCGTCGCGGTCGTCGCGGACTCGCGAACCGACGCGCGGGCGCCGCGCGACGTCGGCGTCCAAGCCGCCGACGCGCGCGCGCTCGCGAACGAGACGCGCATGCGAAAGAGTCCGCGCGCGACGCGAGCGCTTCCCGCGCCGCGGTATCGCGGAGGCGGCGACGCGCGCGAGACCGAGGCGACACCACGACGACGGCCAGTAGCGCGGCACGTTTTTCTCGGAAGACACGACGCGTCGCGTCGTTCGTTCCACCTTCGGTTCCTAGCTAGTAGACTATCTATGTTCTCACAGCTACGTGTTCTAGTACGTGTACTCTAACGCGCCCCGCCTCTTCGTTACGCCCGAAGCGGCGGATTGCTCGTCGGCGGCGACGGCACGTCCTCCTCGTCCAAGACGTCGCCGTCGCCGTCGACAGAGGACGGCGAGTCGCCGCCGCCGCCGTCGCCGCCGCCCCGCAACTTCAATCGGACTCTGTTCACGACATCTTTCCGTCCGCGGTCGCGCATCTCCTCGTCCTCTTCTATCGTCACGAAACGCCCTTCTTCAAGCCGTTTTATTTTTTCCTCCAACACCACGCGCGCCCGCGCCCGCGGTCGCAGAAGGTCCTCCACGCGGGAAGCCGCGTCTACGAACCGCTCCCACGCCATCACCGCCCTGTCCGCGGCTTTCCACTCGATGACCTCGACCGCGTCCGTGAGATGGAGCAGATCTTCCTTCGTCGCCGCGTCTATGTGCTCTTTCACGTCGAGCGCGGGCGCGATCGCGGTGCCGAGGTTGACGAGCGCGGCGTTGAGTCGTCGGACGGCGTGTTTGCATTCGTCCTCCGTCTCTCGCAACGCGCGTTTCGTGTCCGACACCATCGGTTCGATCGTCCCGCGATTCAGCAGGGTGTCCTCCGCGCGCGCGCGCATGGAGAAGCTGTCGTCGTATATCCGCATCGCGTCGTTCTCCATCGCGACGTCGTTTCGTTTTACTTTCGCGTCCACCGCGGTGATTTTCGAAACCGCGCGTTCCTTCGCGCGTTTCATCTCGCACCGCAAACGGCTCAGGGTCGTTCCATACAAAGCGATGTCGGGGTGGAGTTGAAAGGCGTCAGATGGAGTTGAAAGGCGTCGATGATGGGGATTGAAAGGAAGGGGTGGGCGGAGAGACACGCCGCGCAAAGTCCTTAAGGAACGGCGTTCACCACGCGAACGCGGTCGTATGGGGACCAGTGTATAGAACGCACCTCAGCGCGTCCATGACCCTGTCCTCGACCTCCGCGGCGTTCTCTTTGACGTCCTCGACGTCTTTTCTCAACTGATCGGCGACGACCGCGGACCAGTCGCGCATGTCGTGTAAATCCGCGCGCGTGGACACGTGGCGCTCTCTCATCGCCTCGAGACCATCCGCGTCCTCTCTTTCGCCGCCGCCGCCGCCGCTCGAAGGCGTCGTAGATAACGCATCATTCTCGGCGGGCGTTTTCTTCACCGACGAACCCCGACGAATCCCGATGTGCGTCAAAAGCAACCGCAGATGCTCCGGCACCGCCCTCGAGACGTGGTCGTTGAACGCCGCGCGCGTCGTTCGATGCGCGCACCCGTACCGAGCGTACCCGCACTCGATCGCAACCTCCGGACACGACGTCGCGTCGTGCGCGTCGCGTCGCGTCACGTGCACGCGCATCCCACACCGCGCGCAGGAGAAGAACCGATCGTTGCACTTCGCCTCGTGTGCTCCCGCGCGTCTCAGCGCGAAGTGTTGGTGGCACCACTTGCACTGCGTCGGTTGGTACTGGCACACCGCCTTGTGCGCTTTCATTTTCCGCCGCGGGAGGACGACGCCGCACGAGTCGACGCGATACGAACCGTCGCGTGTGGAATACGAAGCGCCGGCGTCGTCTATGAACCCGCAGACGATCTGCTCGTGCGGGCACGTCTCCAAGTGCGCGTCCGCGTCGATTCGTTTCCCTCGCCACGTGCACTTCTTCGTCGGGCATTCGAACGGTCGCTGGTCGCACAGCTTGGCGTGATTTTTCGAATACCGAGCCATTATCTTACGATGACACCCGGGGTGGACGCAGGACACGGCTCTTCGATCGCACTTCGTCCTGTGGTCCTGAACCTCGCGTCTGCGAATCCGCACCGGGCAGCACTCCGCGGGGTTCGCGTTGTTCGGGAAGCCGCAGATCGTGATCTCGTACGCGCAGTCCTTCTCCGTCGATTTCCTGTCCACGAGCCGCCCTTGGTCCGGGCACCCGCCGCGGTCGAGCCGCCACAACAGCCCGCCGTTCCTGTGTTTCGACGCCCTGAGCGCGTGGCGGCACAACACGCGAAGCCCGGCTATCGCGCGCGTCGTCTGCGGGTCATCCGGCGCGTGTTGACCGACCGAGATACCCTTCGCGGCGCACAGACAGTTTCGACAGACGACGCCACGGCCGTTGGCGCCGCGATCGGAGAGGTCGACGACGGGCTCCCACGCGACGTCTTTGCACAGGTTACACAGCACGCTCGTCGGCGGCGGCGTCGCGAACGCGGTCGGAGCTTTCATCCCTTCCGTGTAGTTTCTCGAGAGATAGCACGTGTCCACGAGACCGGCGCTTCTTCGATCGTCGTCGTCTTCTCCCTCCGCGGCGGCGTCGCTACGACCCCCCGGCGCGGTGAGCTTGCACAACGGGAGCTGGTCTCCGTTCCACTTCGTCTCCGGTTTCCGTAACCGGTGCGGGTGCACGCCGCCGTTCACGGCCATCGCGCTTCGAACGAGATGGTCGTAGTGTTTGGTGATCTCGACGTCGGTCATCCTCTGCGCTTCCGTGGCCAAGTGCACGGACCGCTGCGACCGGTCCGTGGAGCGTCCGTCGAGTCGCCCGAACGCGTCTTCTTTCGGCGTCTCCGGGGTGTCGATCCGCCCGGGGGTCCCGACGCGCGTGGACGGCGTCGACGGCAATGTCGACCGCCCCGGGGAGTACGTCGTGTACGAACCCGACCCGCCGCTCGTCGTCGTGAGCGCAAACCCGCTCTTCCGGCTGGACGACCGGCGCGACCGCTGGGACGTCTGCCGCGACAATCCGCCGCCTAATCCAACGCTGCCGCCGCCTCGCTTCTCCCCGCCGCGCATGTGCGAAGGCAGCGCGTCGCCGTCGTCGCGCGCGTCGTCGTCTTCGTGCCACTCCGCGCTGCCGTCGCTGCGAACGCTCATACTCCGATGCGTGCCCCCGCCCCAACCGGAGACGCTCGAAGCCAACGAATCCCGAGGCGGCGCAGCGTAAAACGCGCCGCCGCCGACGGCGCGCGCGGCTCGTATCGCCCGCATCGCCGCCGCCGCCGCGGACATCCCGCCGCGCTGCGACGCCGTCGCGAGCTCGCCGTCGCCGATCCACGCGGCGTCGCTTCCCGTCGTCTCGCGCATGAGATCGTTTCGCCCCGCGGCGCCGTCAACGTCCGCGCCGGCGCGTTCCGCGCGCTCGCGCTCGCGCTGCCGCCGCGCGCCCGCGCGGACGATGCCCGCCAGCGAGAGCCTCGACGCGGAGGCGTCGTCGTCGTCGTCGTCGTCGTCCGCGGCGACGGCGGTGCCGAACCCGAACCCGCGGGAGTCGCGGGAGTCGCGCGACTGCGACGACCTGGCGACGCTTCGACGCGCCGTCGCGACGGACGCGCGCCCGGCGACGCCCCATCGCCCGGCGTTGAGCGCGCTGCTCGAGAACGGGCCCGCGGGGGCTTCGTCCGCGCGCGGCGCCGGCGCGAGGTTGCGGGCTCGGGAGGAGTACCGCGGCGGCGGCGGCGGCGGCGGCGCGGGCGGGGATTCGCGGGGCGCGTCGTTCGCGTCGTCGTCGTCGTCGAAGACGTCGTCGTGCGTCCGCGACGTCCGCGACGTGTCCGGGACCGTGCTCTCGTAGTCCGCGAAGTCCGCGTCGTTCTCTCTCGCTTCCTGAAGCTTCCGCGCGTAGTACTCTCTCGTCTCCGGATCCTCGGGGCGCGGCGGGAGCTTCAGGCTGAGGTTCGGCGGCGGGCCTTTCGGCGGCATCGCGTCGCGTCGCGTCGCTCTTTCGGGTGCCGATGCGATGCCGCGCCGCTCCGTCGCCGATCGAATCGAATCGACCTCCGCGCGACCGACCGACGCTCTACGTCCACGTCGCGACGCTCGAGACGGCGCGCATATCGAACGCGGGCTCGGACGGTATCGCGAGCGCGCGGAGGGGGGGAGGCGCGACGTCCGCCCGCGCGTCCTCTGCGATGTGGCTGCGGCGCGCGCGCCCTCGGAAGAGGAGAAGCACCTGACTGGACTTCTTCAAACGGCTAAAACTAACAACGCTCTACGTGTACATACAGGCTGCCGTCATCGCAGATCCGCGAGCAGCGCGGAGAGACCGTCCGCCGCGCGCGCTCGCACGCCCTCTATCACCCCCTTCATCGCGTACCTCACCACCGCGTCCTCCATCGCGTCCACGTCGCGCTCGACGTCCACCCCGGGAGGAAGCGCGGCGCCGCGCGCGTGCGCTCTGAGGTACCGCTCGAGAAGGAACACGCCCGCCTCCGGCGTCCGCAACGCCTGAGGGTCGAGGGTCCGCGCGAAGCGACGAACGTCGGGGTGGAGTTGAAAGGCGTCAGAAGCGGAGTTGAAAGGCATCGCGGCGTGTAGGGATTGAGACCATCGAGGGACCCTGGGCGGAGAGTGACGAACGACGGGAGAGAAAGTCCTTAAGGATCGGCGTTCACCACGCGAACGCGGTCGTATGGGGACCGGTGTAGACGTGAACGCGCCTCGTGGACGCGCGCGACGCGCGTCGCCGCCGCCGCCGCGACGTCGTGGTCGCCGCGCGCCGCGAGCGAGCCGATCAGGTAGGGGAGCGTCGTTAAGCGCGCGTGCGGGGCGGACTCCAACGCCCGCACCGCCGCGCGGTGCAGCACGCGCGCGGCGGCGTCGCTGGACGCGCCGCCGCGATCGCCGCCGCCGCCGAAAGGTTTCGCTTTCGACGACGAAAAGAAATCCGCGCGCAACAGCGACGTCGAGAGCGCGAGGTCGCACGCGGACGGATCCTCGGCGACGACGGCGGCGGCGGCGGCGATCGCGTCGGATCGAACGGAATCGTAGGGAAGAAGTAACGCAACCTTAGCGGCGGTTATTACGTCCCCGGAAGACGTCACCGCGGCGACGAGGTCGCGCGCGTCCGTCTCGGAGACGAGACAAGCGGCGTTCCTTTTCCCAGCCGCCGCGGGCACGGGCGCCACCGCCGCGACCTCCGGGGCGTCGACGTCGACATCGCCCCACCCGTCGCCCCAATCCTCGTCGTCGTCGTCGCCACCTTCTTCTTCCTTGTCTGGCTCCTCTGCCGCGACGACGACGCTCGCCTCGCCGGCCGCGCGCCGCGCGAGAAGATCGAGCAACGCGCGCCGCGACGCCACCCCTCCGACGGCGGCGGCGCGCAACGCGTCGACCCAGCATTCGCGCAGCGGCGGCGACGACGACGACGACGACGACGCGCCCTCGCCCTCGCCCTCGCCCTCGTCGACGTCGTCGCGTTTCGCCCACGGCGCGGAGGACTCCCACAGCGTCAACACGCCCGCGAGCGCATTCAGGGCGCCGGGATCTTCTTCCACGTCGGACGCCTTCAACAGCGCGGCGAAGCGTCTCGTCGCCGCGGCGAGCGTGGACACGGACGCCTCAGGGTCGTTCCATACAAAGCGATGTCGGGGTGGAGTTGAAAGGCGTCGTGGGCGGGGATTGAAAGGGAGGGATGATCGGAGAGACGCGCCGGGCAAAGTCCTTAAGGATCGGCGTTCACCACGCCGACGCGGTCGTATGGGGACCAGTGTATAGAACGCACCTCGTCGACGACCGCGTCGGTCTCGGCGGGAAGACGCAGGGACGACAACGCGGCGCTCGTGCGCATCGCGAGGACGCGGAACGCGCTATCGCTCGTGTCCCAGACGGCGCCGTCGTCTTCTTCTTCTTCTTCCTCTTCGGGTTCGGGTTCCGGTTCGGCGGCGGCTTCCGCGGCGGCGGCGGCGTCTTCGGCGGCGGCGTCTTCGGCGGCTTTCGCGTCCGCGGCGGCCTCGGCGGCTTTTCGCTCCGCGTCCGCCTTCGCGCGCTTCTCTTCTTCCTCGCGCTTCGCTCTCTCCGCGGCCGCCTTGGCCTCCGCGGCGGCTTTCTCTTTCTCTTTCTCTTTCTCTTCCGCCGCGCGCGCCTCCGCTTCCGCTTTCGCCTTAGCTTCCGCTTCGGCCTTTGCTTTCGCCTTCGCGGCGGCGGCGGCGGCGGCCTCCGCCTCCGCCTCCGCTTTCGCTTTCGCTTTCGCCTTCGCTTCTTCATTCGCCCTGGCGTCCGCTTCCGCTTTGGCTTTCGCTTCCAGCGCGGCTGCCTCTGCCTTCGCTTTCTCCTCCTCCTCCGCCGCCTTCGCCTTCGCGTCCGCTTCAGCCTTCGCCTTCGCCGCCGCTTTCTCCGCGTCGGCTTTTTTCCTCTCCGCCTCCGCCTCCGCGGCGGCGGCGGCGGCGGCGGCGGCGCGCGCCTCCTCCGCGGCTCTCTTCTCTTCTGTCGCTTCCGCGTCAGCCTTTGCTTTCGCCTCGGCTTCGGCTTCGGCTTCGGCTTTCGCTTTCGCTTTCGCTTCGGCTTCGGCTTTCGCTTTCGCTTTCGCTTCGGCTTCGGCTTTTGCTTTCGCGGCCGCGTCGGCAGCCTCCGCCTCTGCCTTTGCATTCGCAGCTTTCGCTTCCGCCTCAGCCGCCGCTTTAGCATCCGCCGCTTCCTTCGCGGCTTTCGCTTCCGCCTCAGCCGCAGCTTTCGCGGCTTTCGCGGCAGCTTCGGCCTCGGCTGCCGCTTTCGCTTTCGCCGCGGCTTCCTCGTCAGCTTTCCGCTTCGCCTCGGCCTCGGCCGCCGCCGCCGCTTCAGCCTCAGCCTTCTTCCAAGCGTCGGCGTCAGCCTTCGCTTTCGCTTTCGCGGCGGCTTCAGCCTCGGCTTTCGCTGCGGCTTCTTCCGCGGCGGCTTCACGCTTCGCCTCCTCGGCGGCTTTACGCTTCGCCTCCTCGGCGGCTTCACGCTTCGCCTCCTCGGCGGCTTCACGCTTCGCCTCCTCGGCGGCTTTACGTTTCGCTTCAGCCTCAGCTTTTCGTTTCGCTTCAGCCTCAGCTTTTCGTTTCGCTTCAGCCTCAGCTTTTCGCTTCGCTTCCGCCGCCGCCGCCGCTTCAGCCTCGGCCTTCTTCTTAGCGTCCGCTTTCGCTTTCGCCTTCGCGGCTTTCGCGGCGGCTTCGGCCTCGGCTTTCGCTTTCGCTTTCGCGGCGGCTTCGGCCTCGGCTTTTCGCTTCGCCTCGGCCTCGGCCGCTTCGGCTTTCCGCTTCGTCTCCTCCTCCTCCGCCGCCGCCGCCGCCGCCTCGGCTTCCGCCTTCGCCTTCGCCTCCGTCTCCGCCTTCTTCTTCTTCGCGTCCGCGTCCGCGTCCGCTTTCGCCTTCGCCTTCGCCTTCGCCGCGGCGGCTTTCTTCGCGGCGAGCGCCTTCTCGCTCTCGAACGCGCTCACTTCGCCCAACAAATCGAGCGCGACGTCGCGCGCGTACCGCGACGCGTCGCCGCCGGCGAATCTTTCAAGCGTCTCGAACGCGGCGCCGCGAATCGATGCGAGCGCCTTCGCGTACCCCTCGCGCGACAGCCTCGTCGCCTTGACCTCGCCGTGACGCGCGGGGGCGTCTCGTAGGGTGCCGAGGAATATATTTCGTAACGTATCCGCTGCGGCAGTTTCATCCGCGACCGTTTCCGTGGAAGACAGCGCGCGAAGCGCGCGGTCCAACGCGGCGGCGACGACGCTCGCGACGTCCACGCCGCCGCCGCCGTGCCCTTCAATCTCGCTAGCGAGATCCGCGAACGCGGCGACGTACCGCAGCGAAACGCCGCCGCTCGCGACCCACGCACACGCGATATCACGCAGCGAAGGGTCGTACGGCGTCGACGGCGAACGCGCGGCGCGGTCGAGCGCGGCGACGTCGGTCGTCGACGGCGTCGCGTCCGCGGCGGCGGCGGCGAGCGAAAACCGCGCGAGCGACGTCTTCAGCGCCCCCGCGCGCTCGCCGCCGACGCTCTCGAGAAGCTTCACCCCCGCGGTGATCGCGGCGATCTTGAGCTCGACCGCGGCGGACGCGTTGAACGACGACGACGACTCGGGTCGCGGCGGTTCGCATCCATCCCTCGCGAGAGGATGCGAACCGTCCAACGCGGCGAAGGCGACGACCGCGAAGAGATCCGCGGGCGCGAGCGACGGCAGCGCCTCGCCCACCGCGGCCCACCGCTGCTCCGGGGTAGAGGACTCGCACTCCAGCGTCGCGACCGCGGCGGCGAGGTAGACTCTGTGCGAGGTCATCCCGAGCGCGGAGTGGCTCGGAGGGAGGAGCGTCACCGCGCGCGCGAGGTCGTTCACGGCTTGACCGGGGAACCGAAGTCGCCCGTCGCGAACGGCTTCCGTCGCGATCGCGGTCGCGACCGCGGTCGTGGCCACCGACGCGGTCGTTCCGGCCGGAACGCGCGCGCTCTCGTCGAAGAACGACCCGAGGGGAAAGTTTGAAGTCGCGCCGTGAAGCGCGCGCGCCGCCGCCGCCGCCGCCGCCGCCGTCGCGGCGGCGTCCTTGTCGCCCGCGGCGGCGAGCGCGGCGCTCAAGAAATCGAAATATCCGCCGAACGCGGCCCCCGACGACGGTAACGCCTCCCACGCGTGCGTTTTCAGACCCTCGATCGCGCGCTCCGGGTTCTTCCCGAACGCGCCCACGATGGCATCCCGCGCCTTCGAATCCTCGTCACCGCGAACGACGCCGCCGGTCGCGTCGGAGAGCGTCCCCGCCGCCGCGGCGACGGCGACGGCGACGGCGACGGCGACGGCGACGGCGACGGCGACGGCGTCCCCGTCCCCGCCGTATCTCGACGAAAACGCCAACGCGGTCTCTACCAAATCCCCGCGCGCTCTCGCGAACGCGACGATCGCGCGCGCGCGATACCCGTTCCCCGACGCCGCGTCGTCCGCGACGAACGCCGCGACGTCGATATCTTTCGGGACGTGCGCGTGGAGCCACGCCGCGTCCGCGCGCGTTTTCAAACCCGCCGCGCACCGCGCGAATCCGACGCGCGTCGCTCTCTTCTCCTCGTCGTCGTCGTCGAGCTCGTCGTTCTCGGCGAAGGCCGCCGCGAGGTCGAGCGCGTCGCGTCGTAACGCGTCGCGGTCGTCGCCGTCGCGACGCGCGCGGCGAAGCGCGTGCGCGCGCGCGCCGAGCCGCAGCGCGTCCGTCTCCCCGATCCCGTCTCTCCCGTTTACTTTGTCCTCTCCATCCGCGCCGCCGCCACCGCCGCCGCCGCCGCCGCCGCGGGTCCACGCGTCGACGACCGCCGACACCGACCGCGACTGCCGCAGGTTGACGAGCATCCCCAGCGCGACGTGCGCCCACGCCGGCGCGTTCGACCCCGCGGCCTCGGCGGCCGCGTGCGTCTCCGCGTTGATCGCGGCGACGTCCGCGGGAGAAGAAGGAGACGAACGCCGCGTCCCGCCGCCGACCGCCGCGTTCGCGACGGCGGCGGCGGCGCCGGCGTCAAATACGATCGGCGTCGTCGCGTCGTCCGTCGCCGCGACGCCGCGCAGTCCAAGTCCGTACGCCAGCGCGACGGACGCCTTCGCGGCGTCGCCAGCGCGCCAGGTGGCGACCGCGTCGTGAAGCGCGACGAGCGGCCCGCGGACGAACGCGCGCGTCTTCTCGTCGCGTCGCGCGATGGCGACTTGGCGATGGATACGAAGCGACGAATGTCGGGGTGGAGTTGAAAGGCGTCATCAGGTGGAGTTGAAAGGCGTCGAGGGCGGGGATTGAAAGCGAAGGGTGGTGGGCGGAGAGACACGCCGGGAAGAAAAGTCCTTCAGGATCGGCGTTCACCCCGCCGACGCGGTCGTATGGGAACCAGTTTGATGAGAACGCACCTTCGGGCCCGGCGACGCGCGTCCACGCGGCGGACTCGCGGTCGTCGAGCTCGCGTCTTCGCCCCGCGCGCGTCCGAGGCGTCCCAGGCACCCCCGCGGCGGCGACGAGGCGGTCGGACTCGAGCGATTGCCACAGCGATAAGATGCCCGCGACGCGGTCGGGAGGGCAGTGCGTCAGCGCGAAGGAGAGGAGCCGTCGTGCGTCGTCGTCCGCGTCGTCGTCGTCGTCGTCGTCGTTCGAACCGCCGAGCATCGCGACCGCGACGTCGTGCGCGACGTCCCACGCGTCCGCGTAGTTCGCGGTCACGAGAGCGACCGTGGCGTTCGCCGCGGCGGCGACGTCGCCCGCGTCCATCGCCGCGCGCGCGCACGCGCGCGTCGCCAAAAGCCGCGTCGTCTGTTTCCGGCTCCGGCGCTCTCGCCCTTCGGCGCCTTCCCCAGCTCGCGTCGCCGCCTCCGCGATCCAGCACAGCTCGTCCACCCTCGCGTACGCGGGCGCCGCCGCCTTCGCCTTCGCCTTCGCGTCGCCGCCGCCTCTCAAGCACGCGCGCACGATCTCCATCGGATCGCGGATCTTCGTCAGTTCGAGCGGCGCGATCGACACGCCGAACGACGGAAGCGCGCGAACGAGACGAAGCGACGCGCGCGCGTCGTCGAGCTCAGTCATCGCGTCTGCGGCCGCGTCGTCGTCGGCTTCGCCGCTAATGGTCGTCGTCGTCGACGTCGGCGCACATCGCAGCACCGCGTCCGCTTGCGACAACGCCGCCTCGTCGCTCGCGTCGGACGCGGCGAACAGCGCCTCTCGCGCGGCGTCGACGACGATCCGCGACGCGCGTTTGGAGGCAATCGCGGGCGGCGCGTCGCCGCCCGCGCCGCCGCCGCCGAGGTGGCCGGTCGCGACGCCGACGCCCGCGGCGCCGAGCTCGACCGCGGCTTGCCCTAACCCGCCGACGATCCCACCCACGGCGCGCGCGATGTTCGATGGCGTCGGACCGCCAGCAGCGCCGCGGCCGCGAACGACGCCGCCGACGGCTTGACCGACGCGACCGGCGAACGCCGTCGCGACGCCGCCGGCGACGGAGACGAGCTCCCCGGCGGCTTGGCCCGCGACCGCGCCGACGGCGTCCCTGACGCTCACGTCAGCACGCGCGGCGGCGACGTTAGTGGTAGTGTTAGTGTTGTGAGTGGCGTGACTACCCTCTCGAGCGTCGGACGACGCGGCGGACGCGGAAGCGCCGGCGGCGGCGTCGTCGCCGTCGTCGTCGCCGTCGCCGTCGGAGAAGACCTTCGACAAAATTCTTCGCGCGAGCGGCGACCGCTCCGCGCCGCCGCCGATCCGTAACAGCGCGCACAGCAACTCCGCGGCGGCGTCTTCCCTGCTAAAGTGCTCGCCGAAGACGCCGTCCGGTCCCGCGAGCGACGCGAGGTCGCGCCACAGCGCTCTGGACCACGCGTGCCCGCGGTCGTCCGCGAACGCTCGAAACGACGCGGGACCGCCCGCCGATTTCTTCGCGCGCATCGCCGACGTCCCCTCCCGCGTCGCGCGCGCGACGAACCGCTTCACGAGGTCCATCGCGGCGTCGCGCTCGGCGGCGGCGGCGGCGAGCGCGGCGAACGTCGTCGGCATCCCCCGGGACGCGAACACGCGCATCGCGAGCGCGCGAGAGAGCGCGGTCCGCGCGGCGGGCGTCTCAGGGTCGTTCCGTCGTTCAAAGCGACGTCGGGGTGGAGTTGAAAGGCGTCAGACGGAGTTGACAGGCGTCGCGGGCGGCGATTAAAATCAAATCAAGGGGTGGACGGAGAGAAACGAACGACGGGAAGTATAGTCCTTAAGAAACGAACGACGTGCACCACGCGGACGGGGTCGTATGGGGACCAGTGTACAACAGAACGCACCTCAGCCGCGGACGGAGGGAGCGCGCTCAACGCCGCCGCGAGCGCCGCCGCCGTCTCGGCGTCGCCGCGGCGGCACGCCGCGGCGGAGGCCGCGGCGGCGTCCGCGAGTCCCTCGTCGCCGCCCAGCGCGTCGCGCGCGGCGGCCGCGGCCGCGGAGGAGTCGTCCGCGTCGTCGCGCAACCACTCGATCGCGCGGTGGAACGCGCGCACGTCGCCGCGACGAACGACGGAGACGAGCCAGTCTCGCAACGCGGCGCCGGCGTCGCCGTCGCCGTCGCCGTCGTCGGATAAGACCCCGCCTCTGACCGCAGCCTCGAGCGCCGCGCGCGTCGTCTCCGCGTCGCTCTCGCCGGAGACGTCCGCGAGCACCGTCGCGAGCCGCGCGCTCGTGGACGCGCGGGCGTACGCCGCGAACGACGCGGACCACAACGACGCGCGCCGCGCGGTGTTTCGTCGAGCGCCGCCGCCGCCGTCGTCGTCCGACGCGTTCCCCGCCGCGCGTCCGCCGCCGTCGCCGTCGTCGTCCGCGTTCTCCGACGCATTCGCGTACGCGTCCGCGCACTCCGACGGCGCGGGCGGCGTCGCGGCGTACACCGCGGCCGCGATCTCGCTCGCGCGACGCGCGCTCCGCTCCAAATCGCTCTCGGAGTCCCCCGCGCCATCGTCGTCGTCGGCGGCGGCGGCGGCGGCGTCGGCGGCGAGCGATAAAAGCGCCGCGGCGTTCGCCAACGCGCCCGCGCTCACGTCCATCGCCGCCGCGCGCGTCGTCGCCCACGCCGCGACACCCCCCGGGACGCTCGCGCACGCGGGCGACCACGGTCTGCGCATCGCGGCCATCGCTTCCGTGGCGTCCAAGAGCCACGCCGCGGAGGGGTACGCGCCGGCGACCGCCATCGCGGCGTCGGAGACCCCCGCGCGCTCGGCGAGCGCTCTCAATGTCAAAGTCGACGTCGCGTCGCCGCCGTCGTCGCGTTCGCGTTCTTCCTCCGCGAGCAACGCGTCCTTCGCCGCCGTCGTCTCCGAGGTCTCGTCCGCGGCCGCGCGCGTCCCGCGCGCGGGCGGCGGCGGCGCGGCGTCGGCCCACGGCGACGACCACGGCAGCAGCGCTTCGTACTCGCGCGGCGGCGTCGTCTCGGGGAGCGCGTCGAGGACGTCCAACAAGCCGCGCGCGGCCGCGCGCGGGTGCCGACGCATGATGAGCTCCGCGCACCGCGCGTCGCCTCTGGACGCGAACGCTCGCGCGGCGTCCGTTACCGACACGTCGCGGAAGGCTTTCCACGCGACCGGGGAGTGGTTCCCGAGGTGGATCGCGTGAAGCGTGTCTAAGCGATCGAGCTGCGCGAGGAGAACCAGACGCACGCGATGCCACCACGACCACGTCGTCGGCGGTGGCGGCGGCGCTTTTTTCCCGTCCGACTCCGCGTCGTCTTCTTTCTCGTCTCTGACGCCGCTTCGCCGTTTTCCGGCGGCGTGCTTCTCCGTCTCTCGCAGACCGTGCACGATGACGACGCGCTGCTGCTCGTAACTCTCCGCGACCGCGACGACGCACTGCGCGGTCGCCCACGCTTTATCCGACACTTTACTCAACGCGTCGTGTATCGACTCGCGACCGGGCGTGGACGCGAGCCACCGCGCTTTGTGCACGTCGTCCGCGTCGAGCCCGCGCGCCGCCGCGAGCGACGCCGCGACGCCCCACTCCTCCGCGTCGAGGTGCGCCTGAAGCATCTCCTGCGGCGTCCGCGCGTTGATCGTCGCGAGGCGCCAGCGCGTCGTCGAGGTCGTCGTCGTCGTCGTCGACGACGACGACGACGACGACGCCTCGGGCGGCGGGGTCTCGAGGACGACGACCCGCTCGCCGCCGCCGCCGCCGCGCGCGCACGCCGCGAGACTCGGGGCGCCCTCGAACGTCTCCGCTTTCGACCCCAACGCGTTCCGCATCTCCGGTATCGTCGACACCGTGACGTCGCCGTCGACGCGCGCGATCGCGAGCGCGTCGCGGGACCACCACGCGATCGAGCAGCACCCCGAGTCCGCCGCCGACGCCGCGAGCGCGACGGGTTCCAACGTCATCGCCGCGGCGGCGGCGGAAGACGCCCCCGCGAGACGCGCGGCGTCCGCGCGCCACACGTGGAGCGCGCCTTCCGGGTCGACCACCGCGACGTGCGCGCGGCGCGCGTCTTCGACGTCGGCGGCGTCGTCGTCGTCGTCGTCGCATCGAAACGCGACGGCGCACGACGGCGGGGGGACGCCGAGGAGGTATCCCACGAGACCGCTCGCGCCGCCGCCGCCGCCGACGCCGCCGCCGACGGGTCCGCCGCCGCGGCTCGCCGTAAACGCGATCGGCACGAGAAACTCGTCGTCGTCGCCGCCGCCGTACCTCCACACCCCCACGCCAACGCCACCCCCCTGGTCGCCGCGTCCCGCGACGATCAGCAGACGTCGTCGCTCGTGCCATTCCATCCCGAGCGGCGAAGAAAACGACGCGCCGGGGAGCGCGCTCGACCGCCGCTTCTCGACGCCCTTCTTCTCCGACAGTAGGGTCCGACATTCTCCGACATTCTCGTCCGACACCTCCACGCCGCCGTCCACGTCGACGTCGCGCACGCGCTGCGCGTGGAACGGCCCCGCGCATCGACGCCTGTGCGCCCTCCCCGCGTCGCCCGTCGCGCGTCGCGGGTTCGCGCCGGCGACGACGACGAGCGTCCATCCCCCGCCGCCGGCGACGGCGGCGAGCGCGACGCCCGCCACCTCCCCGCGCGCGCCCCGAGGTCGACTCCGGCCGCGCTGCGTGTGCGCGAGCCGCCCGACGCGCGTGACGACGTGGACGTCGCCGCCGCGCGTCGCGACCGCGAGCGCGGAGCCGTCGGCGGCCCACGTCGCGTGCGTCGCCGACGTCGACGCGCCGCGGTCGCCGTCGAGCTCGCCTGGCGCCTCGAACGCGCCGAGCAGCCGCTCGAAGTCGTCCTCGTCCCTGAACGTGCGCGTCGTGGACCCGGCGACGACGGCCACCTCCGCGCCGCGTTTCGATGCGGCGAGTATCGGCCGGCGGCGGGCGTCGAGCGCGCGGGAGGACGTCGCGCGCGATGCCGACGAGAGCGACGCGCGCAGCGCGGCGCGTGCGGTGAAACTCGCGCCGCGGTAGACCGCGCCCGCGGCTTTCCACGTCAGCTCGGCCGCGCGTCCAGCGAGCGTCGGCGTTGAAGCGTCTTTGGGCTCGTCGTCGCCGGCGCTTTCGTCGCGCGTTCCCGGGACGACGCGTCGCTGAGAGGAGGAGGAGGCGTGGAGGGGATGGGGGACGTCGCCGTCAGGATTGGATTGGTTTTCTATTAGGCACTGCGAGGGCACGAGTATCAGATCTCGGGCGGACGTCCGAGCGCGACCGAGACACACCCGATCGCGAACGCCGCCTCCCGCCGCCTCCTCGTGCTCCGCGTGGAGGTACACCTCGTAGAGGAGCGCGTCCTGGCTCCCCATGGCGCCGACGCGACCGCCGCGCGCGTGCCAACCGCGCGGCGCGGCGTTCAAATGCTGACACTCGAAAAAATGACGACGCGACGCGACGTCCGAGAAATATACTGAATCCATCAGATCCGCTGATGACTCGCTCGTCGCGCGTCACACCTCGGAGCGCGGGTCGTCGGCGGGACCCCCGCGCGCGCGGTCGGGTCGGGTCGGGTCATCATGTCCCGCGAGCTCATGTTCGAGAACGACCACGCGATATGCTGGAAGACGACGATCACGCCGAACGCGCCGCTCAAGATGCACCGGCACGACCGCGCGCGATGCATCGTCGGTCTGAAGGGCGGCGTCCTCAAGAAGACGGAGGAGGACGGGCGCGTCTCGAACCTCGTGTTCGAGACCGGGAAGGCGTACTGGCTCCCGAAGGATCCCCCGAACGAGCTCCACGCGGACGTGAACGAGGGCGAGGACGACGTCGTCGTCATCGTCACGGAGTTGAAAGAGGAGGCGGACAGGGACGGCACGGCGGAGTTCGGGGCCAAACGCGAGCCGTTCGCGGGGTTGAAGATGCCGAAAGGCTGGGAGCCGCCGACGACGAAGCGAGACGAGTAGCAGACCGAAGACGAAGGTATTCTTTACCACAACGACGATATACTGTAACGATGGTGTGATGAGATCTATGAGATGATACTGTAATAGATAGACTAACTGAGGTTCACTCGCGCCGCGCACCACGCGGCGGCGACCCCGAACGCGATCGTCAGCGGCGCGTGAACGAACAACGCGCCCGCGGCGACCGCCTTCGTCGCCGCCGCGCCCGTCGCCGTCAGCCTCTGCAATTGAAAACACGATACCCCGAGGTGGTACGAGAGCATGCCTCCGACGACCGGCGTCGCGGACGACGCGACGGCGGCGTCGTCGGTCGTATCGGCGCGCGACGCGAGGAAGGATGCCAACGCTGAGGGCCGTTCCATACGAGCGATGATATCGGGGTGGAGTTCAAAGGCGTCATCATTTGGAGTTGAACGGCGCCGAGGGCGGAGATTGAAAGCGGGGGGTGGGCGCAGAGATACGCCGGGAAAAGTCCTTAAGGATCGGCGTTCACCACGCGAACGCGGTCGTATGGGGACCAGTGTGTAGAACGCACCTAAGCACGCCATCGACAACGCGTACCACCGCGAACACTCCACCGCGGCGAAGGCGGCGGTCTCGATCCCGGGGAACACCGCGGCCGGGTTGAGCGCGACCGCGACCGCGCCGGTGAGCTCCACGATCGCGTTCGCGCGCAGGAGCTTCAGGAGCTCGCGCGCGTCGGACGACGGGGACGACGGGGACGACGACGACGACGACGACGCGGGAGCCCCGTCGGACGACGCGAACGCGGTGCCGACTCTGGGGGGGCGAAGCGGTCGCGTTCGGGTTCGGGTTAGCGGCGCGGCGCGGCGCGCGGCGGACGCGCGTCGACCGATGGTAGGGGACGTCAGGGAGCGTGCGAGAGCGGCCATCCCGCGCGCGCGCGGCGTCGGTCCGCGGCGCGCCGGACCGAGTGGCTCGGTCTCGGCTGCGCTGTGAACAATTAATTGCTCAAAAATATTTTTCGAGGGCGAAAGCGAATCCTGAGCGCACTCCCCGAGGCACGCGCGCGCGATGCCCGGCGACGGCGGCGCGCTGCGGAATCGTCGCACCCCCGACGGAAGCGCGGGAAGCGACGCGGAGACGCTGACGGAACCGCTCCTGGAACCCCCCGTCGCGCGGACGTCCTACGGCGCGACGGACGGCGATGGCGACGGCGACGGCGACGACGACGCGAGCGCCCCCTCGACGTCCGCCGCGAAGAAGCGCACCACCTCCTCCATCCTGTCCGCGATCGCCGCGTGGTTCCAGAACTTGTTCGCGTCCATCGGCTTGTGCTCGCGGCGTCGGAAACCGCTGACGAAGACGCAGCGCGAGCGCCTGCGCGCGCTCATCGACCGCGCGGCGATCCCGTACGACGCGACGAACGTCGCGCACGCGGAATCGCTGCGCGATCTGTGGAAGGTCGCGTTTCCGATGCGCGACCTCCCGGGGATGAAGTGCGAGGAGTGGAAAGAGATGGGGTGGCAGGGCGTCGACCCCGCGACGGACTTCCGCGCGGGCGGGCTGCTATCGCTTCAGAACCTGGTGTGGTTCGCGAAGAAGCAGAACAAGGTGTTCAAGCGATTGATGCGAAAGACGGACGGCGCGCGGAGCGACTGGGAGTACCCGTTCGCGGCGTGCGGGGTGAACGTAACGCACGCGCTCGTGGAGTTACTGCAGCTCCGCGACGACACTAAGAAGATGAAGACATCGTCATCGAGTAACGCAGAGGAGGAGGAGGATGCTGCCGGCGACGATGCTTCGTCGTCGGTGCCGAAGCGGACGACGGCGGCGGCGGCGGCGTTCGCGGAGCTGTTGGCGACGGACCCGGACGCGTTCGAAAACATGTACGTGACGTTCTTCGAAACGCTCGACGCGGAGTGGTTATCTCAGGAGGCGACGTACATGGAGTTTAACGTCGTCATGAAGGCGACGACGAAGAAGGTCAAGGCCGCGTTGGAGAAGGTGGGGAGAAGGAGGGACGGCGGGAGCGTCGCGCGCGTGAGGCAGAAGCTCGGGTTGCAGTGATGAGTCAGTCGCGAGGTCCTTTCGTCGGGGACGACGGGGGCGCGCGAGCGGGAGCAGCGAGACGTGCGGGTGTGCGCGCGTTCGTCGTCGTGATTCACATCGCAAGGTATTTGTTCGTCGTCAGTTCGTGTTCGTGCTGCGGAGCTCGGCCTCGAGCCAGTCACGCCACTTCTGCGCCTCTTTTTTGTCCACCGCCACGCCGCACAAGCCGTATTCGTAATATGGTACGAGCCTGTGCGCGGTCCAACTGTCACCGAGCTCCGCCGCCTTGACGTATAACTCGAACGCCTTCGCTTCGTCTTTATCCACGCCTTTGCCATTCTCGTAAAGCAGGCCGAGGGCGCCTGTCGCCTTGGCGTGCCCCAACTCTGACGCTTTTTTCGTCCACTCGACCGCCTTCGTCATGTCTTTCGCCAAGACATCGCTACTCATCGGGTACCGATAGCAATGTCCGATCGCGTGCATACAAGCAGCATCGCCGCGATCGCACCCCTTGCGGTACCAGTAGACCGCCGTCGCGTACGAGGAATACAAAAACCTGTCACCGTGCCTCTTCAAAGCACCTAGCGCGACGGGCAACGAAGCGTCCGACTTCTCCGCGTCCCTGAACACCCTGCTCACGGCGGCGAGCGCGATGCGGTCCCTCGGGTCCTCGAGATGCGAGAAGATCGCGCACGCGACGTTACCGTCGGCCTCGAGAGTGGGACGCATGTCGGATCTGGGCGTGGCGGCGTGGGGGGGGGCGCGGGGAAGTGCGGGCTCTTTTTCTCGGCAGTGGAGAGAGGGAATCCACACAAAAAAGTTCACCGGTCAGTTGAAATGTGGCGCGATCAAATGTTGAAACCGATGGATGGGTGAAAAACGTTTGTCCAGCCGCACCCGAAGTTCAAAATAATCGCGCCCGCGTGCCGTTGCGCTCGTTTTCGGGTCACCATCTCCCGCGCCGAGATCTGCGCCAGGGTCACTGACGTCGCGCGCGACGCCATCGCACGTCGCATCGCGCGCGCGTTCCACCTCCTCGCGCGAGCCCGCGGAAGCGCGAGCGAGAAGATGACGGCGGCGGCGGCGGCGACGACGACGACGCGTCGGCGGTCCACCACCACGATCTCGTCGTTCCTTCTCTCGCTGGCGTGCGCCGTCCTCGTCGTCGCGCCCTCCCCCGCGCGCGCGGCGGGCATCTACGACCCGTGCGTCGCCCAGAGCGCGGTCCAAATCGGCGACACCTTCTCCATCGGCATCGCGTTCTACCCCGGCGGCGCCATCTCGGACTGGTACGACAGCGCGGGCAAGATCTACCATCCGTGCGACGCCACCGCGAGCGCCGTGCTCCAGACGAAGCTCGTGCAGACGCAGAGCTTCCGACCCAAGGTGGACCACCTGACGTTCTTGAGAGGCGACGCGACGGAGGAGACGGCCGTGTTTAACACCGCGAGCGGCACGCCTATCATCATGACCATGGTCGCGTACACGGCCAACGGGATCATCTCCGACCCGAGGATCGTCCGCGTCACGAATTCAGGTGCGTTCTATACACTGGTCCCCATACGACCGCGTTCGCGTGGTGAACGCCATTCCTTAAGGACTTTTCCCGGCGCATCTCTGCGCCCACCCCTCGCTTTCAATCCCCGCCCTCGACGCCTTTCAACTCCTACTGACGCCTATGAACTCCACCCCGACATCGCTTTGTATGGAACGGCCCTCAGGCGCCATCGTCGGCGGCAGCGATCTCGGCCGCGTCTCCTCGCTCACGCTCGTCGCGCGGTTCGACGGCGGGAACGTGGCGCACCTCCAATGGCACGACATCGGGTGCAGCAGCTGTAAAGATGGGGACTCGTGCATCAACGTCGACGCGAAGGGGGATCACTACGCGTGCGCGGGGAGCGAGACGGCGTGCTCGTGCACGGGGTCGGGGTGCGCGTTGAATCTCGCGGGGACGGACGTGCTGCGATGCCAGCTCACGACGTCGCTGGGGTTCAGCGGGACGGATAAGCACTCGGTGCCGATGAAGAGCGGGGCGCAGATCGAGCGGTTGGGGCAGTACAGCATCGAGGAGGCCGCGGACGGCGCGGGCGCGAGCGCGTACGGGAGGTAGAGGCGACAAGACGAGGCGAAGATAGACACAGTACGTGTACTTTTGAGGGATTTAACTATTTATTTTCGACCGGCTCCCGGGGACGCGTCCGCGTCGACGCCCTCCTATGCTAAACGACGTCTCGCCTCGACTCGATTCGACTCCCCGCGTGATGCTTAATTCCCCGCGCCGTTCTCCTTCCCGTCGTCGTCGTCGTCGTCGTCGTCGGAGCCGAAAGCGCCGCCGAACATTTCCATCATCCGAGCGGCGGCGTCCGCGGCCATTCGCCGGCGCTCCTCGTCGCCGACGCCGACGCCCGCGGCTCGCACGCGCGCCACCTCCGCCATCATCTGCTCGAGGTCGTCCTCGAGGTCGTCCCCGTCGTCCTCGAGGTCGTCCTCGAGGTCGTCCTCGAGGTCGTCCGCCGGCGCGGGCTTCGCGTCCTCGACGGGAACCGCGGCGCCGGCGGCGGCGCCGCCGCCGCGCGGCTTGAAGACCGACCCCGGCCAGTGGTGCGCCTCGAGCGCGTCCTTGACTCGCTTAAACCCGTGCGCGTCGCCGTCGACGTCTAACCCCCCCACGCGACCGTCCACGTCCACGTCCACGTCGTCTAACGCCACCGCGACAGCTTCGAAGCCGTGCGCGCCCGCCCATCGCTCCGCGGCGCGAACCTCCTCGAACGCGTTCGCGCGCGCCGCCGCCGTCGTCGCGTACGCGCACACGACGAGCTTGATCTCCGTCTCCGGGAACATCGTCGGCGTCGCGTCGTCGTCGGCGTCGTATCCGGTGGCGGCGTCGGAAGACGAAGAAGACGCCGCGGCCCACGACGTGAGACGCGCCAGCGCGTTCGGTCGCGACGGGTCGAACACCAGCACGATCGCCTCCGGCCCGCGCGATGGCATCCGCGGCGACGGGACCGCGTCCTCGATGACGACGCCCGGCTTAGAGTCGCGGCTCGCGGAGGAGGACGACGACGACGCCGATTCGATCACGCAGACGCTCGCGGCGATGTCCGCGACGTAGTACTTCGTGTCGAGCGTCCATCGCGTCGTGGTCGTCCGGTCGGACGCGTCGGATCCATCCGCGTCGTCGGCGTCGTCGGACGCGTCCGGCGGCGACGGCGACGACGACGACGGAACCAGCGCGGCGAGGACCTCGCGCGCGCGCGCGTTCGGCTCGCCCACGAACAGCGCGAGGGGGCGCGCGTCGAGCGCGTCGGTCGTCGCGTCCTCGGGCATCGCGGCGACGACGACGCGCGGGATCGACTGAGCACGAGCAGTCGCGTCGCGAACGAATGGTTTCACTTCCCTAGGCTCGCGGTGGTGCGCCACTTCCACGCGCGCGCCGGGGTCGCATCGCGCGCCATGGCGTTCGCCGTCAGCTCTGCGACCTTCGCGGTGGTCGCGTCGCCGCGCGTCGCGGTCGCGCCGCGCGCGCGCGCCGCGGCCGTCGCGTCGTCGTCATCGTCGTCGTCGTCGTCGCGCCGTCGTCGTCGTCGCGCGTCGTTCTCGAACGATATCCGTCGTTCGGCCGCCGTCGCGGACGCCGGAGGCGACGACGCCCCGGGCGAGGTCGTCGACCTCGACGACCTGGACTTCGACCTGGACGACCTCATGCCGGACACGATCATGGGCGACCTGGAGGACCTCCAAGAGGAGCTCGGCGCGGAGTTCGACGACGACGGCGTGCCCCTCAACTACGGCGACGCGGCGCTGGAAGCGCGCGCGATGCGCGAGCGATGCGGCGTCGTCGACCGCACGGGCGCGTGGAAACTCCTCAGGCTCGGCGGCCCCAACGCGATCGACGCGCTCATCGCGTCCGGCGCCGCGGCAAAAGACGTGGACGCGCTGAAGACGCTCGCTCCGGGCCAAGGCGCCGCGGTGTCCTTCGATCGCGGCGACGGTAGTCGAGCCATGTGCCACGTCCAAGACGGCGGCGTCCTCATCATCGCGCCCACGTCCGTCGCGACGACCCTCCTCGCCGCCGCGGGGCCCGACGCCGCGATGGACCTCGCGGAACAGTGCGTGCTGTTATCCATCCTGGGGCCCAAGGCGAGCGACATGCTCTCGGACGTCGGCATCGTCGGCGTGTTGGGCATGCCGCCGGGGACGCACGCAGTGTTCGGCGCGTTCTATACACTGGTTCCCATACGACCGCGTCGGCGTGGTGAACGCCGTTTCTTAAGGACTTTTCCCGGCGATTCTCTCCGCCCACCCCTCGCTTTCAATCCCCGCCCGCGACGCCTTTCAACTCCGCTTCTGACGCCTTTGAACTCCACCCCGATATCATCGCTCGTATGGAACGACCCTTAGGCTACGACGACCGGCCCGTCGTCGCCGCGCACGGGACCGAGCTGGGGGGGGAGGTGGCGAGGACGCACGGCGTCGCGAACTTGGTCGTGGACGAGGGCGTCGCCGGGATGGTGTGGAACGTGATCGTGAGGAAAGGCGCGGAGCCGTGCGGGTCGCAGGCGTTGGCGGAGGTGACGAAGTCGTGAGCGAGCGTCGCGCCGGGCGCCGCCGCTGAGAGACGAAAAGATATGATAGGATAGTCCGACGGCGGCACACGTAGTCTCCTTTATGACGTGCGACTCTACTCTAACTACTAACGTACGGTTTGTGCCGTCGCGCGTCTCATCGTCGCCTTTGAAACACCGCGCCGCCGCCCTTTGACGACTCCGAGCGCCGCGCCGCGAGCCGCTTCGCTCGGCCGTCCGCGCTGGACGCCTTCGCGCCTTCGCGCCGCGCCGCCGCCGCCGCCGCCCCCCCCACGCCGCCGCCGCCGCTGAATATCCCCGCGAACGCGCCCGCGGCGGCGGCGGCGTTCGCGCGTTTAGACACTTTAGAAACGCCTACCGAAGTGAAAGCGGTCGATTTCTTCGCCGCCCCCGGCGCGCTGAAAATACTCGAGCGCGCGATCGCGCTCCGACTCTTCGCTCGGTTGCGATCGAACACGTCCATGCCCTCGCTATCTTTCCCTCGAAACGCCTCCCGCGCGAGCGTTTGATCCTCCTCCGTGTTCGGCAGCAGCGTCATCCCCTCCGGTAACCCTAAGCGCTTCGCTTCCGCCTCGTTCGCGGCGATCTCTTTCCGCTGCCCGCGCATCGCGCGTCGCAGCGCTTTGTTCACGGCGTAGTGGTCGCCCCATCGGTCGTCGCTCGTCGCGTGCAGCGCGCGTATGCTCGGCGCCGCCGCTTTCGCGCGCTGCTCCCCGCCCGTCGCCGCGCCCCTCTCGAGCATCGCGAACGGATCCGCCGCGAGCGCGTCCCGTTCCTCGCGCGTCTGAAGCTCGACCTCGATCGTGCCGTCGAGGTCTAATCCTGGTCGCGCGTCGTCGCCGTATCGCGTCGCCGCGCCGGCGCCGCCGACCATTCGGTCCGCGCCCTCGACGACGACGTACTCGCTCGCTTTCGGGTCCGTGTGGATCTCGAGCGCGTGCGCGCAGCACGACGTGAGCATCTTGAACGAGTGTATCGGTATCGAGTGGTACTTCCCGATGGTCTTCTTCTCCGCGTTGAATCGCACGCCGCGCGCGATGGTGGCGTCGCAGCCGCGGCATCGGACGTTGAAGGGCATCTCGAATCGGATCGTGAGGATGCCCTTGTCGATCTTGTTCGCGCGCTTGCCGAGGCTGCCGTGCTTGTTGAACTGTCTTCTGAGCGACTCGGACCCGCCCTCGGGGGTCCAGTCCTGTCGTCATCGGGCGCGGAGGGGAGGGAGGGAGGGCGCGTGAGGAGATGCGAAGCGACGGGGAAAATTGGGCGGGCGCGCGCGCGGATCTCGAGATCTCGACGTCGCGGAGCGTCGCGAGGGGACGCACCGGCGGGTAGTAGAAGCCATCGGCCTTCGTCGCCGCGAGGGTCGACATGACGGCGGCGCGGGTTTTGGAAAACCCGCTCCTCGACCGACGTCGACCGTGCGCCGCGAGCCGCGCGCGCGGGGAGAGTGCGACGTGAGCGCGAGCACGAGCTGAAGAGAAAAAAGTTTATTTTCCCTTCCGAGAATTAATTTTCCGTCGACACATCACCCCGCTCGTCGCCGTCGCCGTCGCCATGGCGTCCACCACCGCGACGGCGTGCGTCCAACCCCGCGCCGCGAGCGTCGCGCGGACGCGACGACGACGACGACCCCGACCGGCGACGCGACGACGCGTCACCGCGGACGCGAACGCGTCGGAGACGTCCTCCGCCTCCTCCTCCTCCTCCGCCTCCGCCTTCCCGGTGTTTCGGAAGATGGAGGGACGCTGGGAAGACGCCGTGCGGTACGTCCACGCGACGATGGAGACGACGCCGAAGATCAGGCTCACGGGGACGCGAGAGGTGCGCGCGCGCCGTGCCGCGACGCGCGGTCGCGCATCGCGTCGCGCGCTCCCGAGGTCGCGCAGGAGACTGTTTGCCCATAGGAGCGTGTGTCGGATCCGATCATATCTCGACACTCTGTGCCCACCGCCCGCCCGCGCCCTCCCCGTCCTCGACCGTTAACCGTCGTCCCCCTCCCTACCCCCAACGTCCACAGATACGCGTCGCCGACGACGGCACCGTCTCGCTCCGATCGAAGACGACGTTCCCGGGCGGTAAGGTCCTGGAGCTCGCCTTCGCGGGTGAGCGCGTCGACGAGGCGTTCGGGTTGAAGAACGTGGTGAAGTTCGTCCGGACGCCGCTCGAGCGCGAGGCCGAGCCGGTCGAGGGATACTACCCCATCGTGTTGTTGGTAAGTAAGGCTCCGAATGTCTCTTTCGTTTCTTAATCATGTTATCCATCGTCATCAATCATCGCATCACCTCGTGAGTCACTTAATCGTCGTGCTCACGTCTGTCGCGTCTCCGTAGGCGTCGGAACACCCGGCGGAGGAAGACCACGGCTCGTTCGACGTCGTCGTCGTCCGCGAGGTTCTCGCGGAGACTGGGCGGACGCTGCTGTCCGAGTGCATCACGTTGATAGATAAGGAGGGTGGGGGGACGGAGGCGTCGCACGTCGCGCAGGAGGTGAACGAGGACGGGTCGTTAGGGGGCGTGCAATTGTGGCGAAGCGTGCTGAGAGCGCCGGAGGTAGAAACGTGTTAGGGCAGAAATAGAAACATTGGTCATGTCACATCTCATCGCGCGTCCTCCAGTATCCCCCGCGCGACCGCGCACGGTCAGCTCCGCCGCGGACGCGATGGAGGAGGAGGACGCAGCCGCGAGGCGCGCGCGTTTGAAAGCGATGCGAGCGGACGCGGACGCGGCGGCGGCGTCGACGTCGGGCGCGGGCGATCCCTCGATCGCGGCGCGGAAATCGTCGCTGCCCGGCCCGTCGCTCGACGACGTCCCGTGGGGCGGGGGACCGACGACGACGCACCCTCCGCGGCAGCTGAAATCCGCGCCGGGGCCGCCGTACCCGCCGCCGCCGGCGGCGGCGGCGGCGTTCGGCGGGTTCGCGAACGCGCGGCCGCCGCCGCCGCCGCCGCCGCCGACGACGACGGGAGGGGCGCATTTCGCGGGGTGGGGAGGAGGGGGGAGAGGGGGCGGACGGAGAGGCGCCAAAGCGCCGCGGCTCGACGACGGCGGTCGCGGCGGTCGCGGAGGCGACGGTGACGCGCACGCGTACTATAAGAAGAGCATGGTCGAGGACCCGTGGCGGCATCTCGAGGGTCGCGTCGCGGCCGCGCCGCCGCCGCCGCCGCCGCCGCAGCAGCAGCGGCAGAGACGGCACCCGGCGCCGCCGCCGCCGCCGCCGCCGCCGGCGCGGCTCATCGCGGGGAACAAGCATCGTCTGTTCGAATCGTTAGACTTAGAAGATTAATCGCGACCGCCCATCGTAGAGACTACTCAACTCTCCGCGTGATCTCGTCGGCGGGCGTCGCGCGGTATCGTGCACGCGCCGGCCGGAACCCGCGGCGTCGGCGTCCGGTCCGGCGAAAAACACAGCAGTCGCAATCGTCGACGACTCGTCGATCTCGTCGTCATCGTCACCGCATCTCAACTCATACGTCCGCGCGCGTCCACCCGTCGTCGCTCGATAACGCGATGTCCGCCGCATCGATCTCGATCGTCGTCGCGTCGTCCGCGTCCGTCGCGTCCGCGTCCCCGAGATGCGTCGCGTCGACGCCGCGAACGGCCGCGGCGCTCGGCGGCGGTGGGCACCGTCGATCGCATCGCCGATCGCCGCGTCGACGCGGCGCATCGATCGTTCGCGCCGCGGAGGAGGACCCCATGAAGGCGCGTCCGTCCACGGGATCCCCGCCGCGCCTCGAACGTTGGTTGCGTCGTCCACGAGAAAGAAGAACCGCCCGCGCGGCGTCTCGGCGTCCTTCGCGACGCCGCGAGCGGCGCGTCCCGCGTCCTCGTCGCGCCGATCGCTGACCGACGAACCAACCCTATCGCCCCTCGCGCGATGATATCTTCGACAGGCTGTCGCTCGGCTCGTGAAGAAAGTCCAAGGCAAGATCCCGGTCGTGTCCCTGCTCTCGAAACTCCTGACCCCCGAGGGCGGGATCGGCGTCGAGGCGCTGTCGTACAACGAGTACTGCCGCGCGAAGCTCGACGCCGCGGGGGGCACGGAGTACGGCGCGTCGCTGAGCGAAATTTGCGACGCGTACAAAAAAGAGCCGCGGCAGTTGCTGCTGCTGACGTGGATGGTCTACGAGGGCGACGGTCTGCTCCCCGACGACGTCGCGACCGCCGCCGCGAGACGATTATCGAGCACCGGGTTCGACTACGAGTACGAGATATTCAAGTTCGAGAGCGCCAGGGACGAAGCGATCGCGCGCGCGCGGAAAAAAGGCGTCGACCCGCGCGCGGGGCGGGACGCGGCGAGGGCGACGAAGACGGCGACGGAGGTGTTGGAGCTGTGCTGCGGCGCGACGAACGGGTTGACGACGGAGGGGAAGGGGCACATCGCCGTCGTCGCCGCGGCGACCATGGAGGCGGTATGACGTGATGTGATGTGATGTGATGGAGGAGGTACGTATCAGAATGTTAGTACAAGCGCTTCGTTCGCCCCGGTCAAAACCAAAAAAAAACCAAAATAAAATCGTCACAGCTCCGCGGCTTTCGCCGCCGCGGACGTCAGACCGACGTCTTCGCCTTCCCCGCCCTCGAGCTTCGCCTGCTCCTCCGCGAGCTTCGCGTCCAGCTCCTTCTGCCTCTCTGCCTCCTCCCACCGCTCGAACGCCTCCCTGTCTTCCTTCCGTTTTATCTCGTCGAAATATTCGTCCACGTACGTCTGGTACTTGGAGTCGTTCAGCCCGAAGAGATCCGCGAGGTGCTCCTCGAGCTCCCAGAAGCACGCGCTGAGCTTCTTGAGGAACTTCCGGAACCCCGTGAGCGTTTCCTCCGCGACCGCGGCGTCGTCCGCGGCGTTCTCCGCGACCTCGGTCTCGCTCGGGCGGGCCATCCTGCGCGGCGATCGGAGGCGGTGGGGGGAGGGCCGACGGTCGGCGAGATCGATCGATCTGATTCGCGAGGGAGAGAGACGAACCGAGTGCGAGGCGCCGGGTGCTCACTCATCGCGTCGTCCGAGGGGAGAACCTCGACGGACGACGACGCGAGCGGGTCGGGGGTGGTCGGCGCGCGCACCCGTCCTGCGCGTGCGCGGGCTGGAGCTCGATCTCGTCCGGGGACGTCGCCTGTTGCATCATGACGGGCGACCGTCCGTGCGGGAGCGCGCCCCGCGAAGTGCCCGCGGCGATCCCGAGGGGCGGCATCGCATCGTGAAAATTTAAAGTTTGACCGGGGACAGGAGGTTCTGTTGGTTGACTCCCGCGCTCGCGCTCGTTTCGTTCGACGCGGTCTGAATAACGCGCTAGTAGTCTACTTCATCTATCCATCACTCCGCGACGTCGGCGACCCCGCCGTCGCCGCTCGCGCTGCTCGCCACCTTCCTCCTCTCCCACGCCGTCCTCGCCGCCTCCGGGACGCGGTCGTACCCTTCCGCCCACCCTCTCCCCTCCCCTCGCGCCGCCGCCGCGCTCGGCGTCGGGCGGTCGACGTACGCCGCTCGCACCGCCGCGTAGTCCACGTCAGACAGCGTGCCGTCGCCCTGGAGCTTGACCCTGATCGACTTCGCCGGCGGAGGGCGAGCGACGGGCGGCGCGTGGTCCGCGGCTGGGACGTACGGCCGCGCGGTGAGCTCTCGGCCGCCGCCGCCGCCGGCGCCGCTCGACGCGGTCGTCGCCGCCGCGCCCGTGCCGGCGCTCCCGCTGGCGGCACCCTGAACGCCGCCGCCGCTGGCTCCTCCTCCTCGCTTCTTCTCCGAGTGCAACAGCGCGGCCATGTCTTCCATCGCGCGCTCGAGGGGGTCGACGCCGCGGTCGCCGCCGCCGCCGAACCCGAGCGACGACGACGCCGCGCCGCCGCCGCCGCCGCCGCCGCCGCCGCCGCCGCCGCCGCCGCCGCCGCCGCCGCCGCCGCCGCCGCCGCCGCCGCCGCCGCCGCCGCCGCCGCCGCGAGACGCCGTCCGCATCGACGTCCCGCTCGTGGACGACGCCGCGTCCGCGCCGTCCGCCGCGCCCCCCACCGAGCTCGCGCGCCGCACCACGTCGACCCCGCCGTCCGATGAGAGCAGCCGTGAGCACTCCGCGCCCTCGCCGCCGTCGGTCTCGTCGTAGATCTCCTCGCTCGCGCGACGTCCGTCGTCGTTCACGACGGTTCGATCCGCGCCGTGCCTGAGCAGCGCTCTCACCGCCCTCGCCGCGTCTTCTCTCGCGGCGTAATGCAGCGGCGTGCACCCGTCCACCGCGGTCGCGTTCACGTCCGCGCCGGCGCGGCAGAGCGTCTCCACGATCTCGTGCGCGTCCTCCGACGCGGCCCAGTGCAGGCACGTCGTGCGGTGTCGCAATCGCGCGTTCACGGGCGCACCGTTCTCGAGGAGCGACCGGACCCTGTCGGCGTCCCCGCGCGAGACCGCGGCGTGGAGGATGTCCACGAGGCTCACGATCGACGTCGCCATGGCCGCGAGGAGTCGCGACGCGGGTCTACGCGCGCGCGCGTGTGACCGTCGCTCGCTTTCCGATCAGCGTCAACGCGCGCGTGTTGACTGCGTGCTACTCGCGGAGATGAAGCGGAAATAGATCGTTTGAACGGAGAGCGCCGAAGGTCCACACGCGTCCCGCGCGGCGACCGCGCACCCGCGGTCGCGCGCTCCCTTCGCGCGGGGGCCGCGGCGCGCGCGAAGGAGCGCGCGCGACGGCGCGCGTCGACGTCCCGCGTCGCGGGGAGGGGGGCGACCCGGCGTCGTCGTCCCCTGTTGGGCTGAAATAAGATCTGATCGATGGGCGTCCTCGACAGCCTCGACGCCTTGGACGCGCCGTCCACCGCGGTCCCCGCGGACGAGCTGAGGCAGGTGAAGACGCTGCTGTGGGACATCGTACGCGTCAACGTCGCGCCCGCGGAGGTGGACGAGGTCAAGCGCGCGCTCGGGACCGCCGCCGTGGACGACAACGCGCAGCTGATGGAGGAGGCGAGCGCGCTCGCGACGATCGTGGGCGAGGTGCGGCGCGACGTCGACGACGGCGCGGTCGCGCGACGGCTGTACGAGAACCCCGCGAGGGCGCTCGTGGAGGGCGAGCTGAGGCTGCTCGTGAAGAGCATACGGAGGACCGCGAGCGGGGACCTCGCGGAGGGCTCGGGACGGCCGCCGTCGGGGCGTCCGAGATCGCTCGCCGCGCGGCAGGAGACGGAGGAGCCGGAGCGGGAGATCAACTGGGCGGACATCGGCGGCGGCGGCGTCGACGATCCGACGCGCGTCGTCGACCCGCCGAAGCCGCCGCCGCGCGGCGCCGGGGTGGATTCCCTCCTCGGCGACGCGTTGGGCCCCGCGATGGACGCGAGGACGGAGAAGCTGCTCGTCGCCACCGCGAAGGAGCGCGCGATGCTCGAGTACGTCGTCGGCGGCGCGGACGCCTTGTCGATCCGCGCGGGGACGCCGCGGACGCCGCCGTCTCGACCGGCGTCGCGGTGCCACTCCTCGCGCCCCCCATCGAGCGCGGGCAGCCACACGAGCGGCGCGGGCGCGCCGGAGAGCGACGGGAGCTCGAGCGTCATCTCGGACCCGGCGGCGGCGGTGGCGCGGGTCGGCGCGGACCGCGTCACGATCTTCGACGTCGACGCCGTCGCCGCGCCGCTGCGGGAGCTTCTCATCGAGGAGCGCGCCGCGTTGCTCGACGACGTGGAGTATCTGCGGCGGTGCTTAGAAGAGGAGGCGGAGATCGGGCGGCGCGTGCGGGCGCCGCCGCCGGACGTGACGGAGCTGAGGAATTACGGCGCGAAGCTGCGAGGGGTGTTGGAGAACGAGAGGGAACGCGCAGCGCACGTGGCCAAGGTGGAGAAGATGCTCGCCGCCGCGCCGTCCGACGGCGCGAAGAAGCTCGGACGCGTCGGGAAGCTGCGGTCGCTCGCGAAGACGCTCCACGCCGACGTGGGCGGCGGCGGCGGTGGCGATGACGCGTCAGCGCGTATGCGTGATGGTGGCGATGACACGTCAGCGCGTACGCGTGATGGCGTGGCGTCGCCGGAGCCGCCGGCGGCGGCGCCGGCGCGCGCGTTGATCCCGGCGCCGCCGCCCGCGCCGCCGCCGATCGGGGCGCGGCGGCAGCCGGGGTCGGGAGGCGCGCCGTCGCGTCCGCCGCTCGGCGGCCGTCGCATCGTGGTTAGTAAAACGTAGTAGACGTAGCCGCGTCGCGCGCACGCTCGACGATATGATACCCGTACCCTAGGAGATCGTTTTCGTTTCGTTCGTCGCACGCGCGCGCGGACGTCGTCTCGCAGCTAGACTAGCTAGACTCTCGCGAACGAAGGACGCCGACGCCGTCGTTCGCCACCCGCTCTTCGTCGTCCCCGAATCTTCCTTCATCATCATCACCGCCTCTTTTCCAGCACCGCCCCGCGGACGCGCTCTGCGCCGACGATCACCGCGAGCATCGTCGCGACGAGCATCACGTGCGTGACGTTCGGATGAAACCCCGCGGCCGTTCCCAGCGTCCCCTCCATCGCGCTCGCGACGTTGCTCAGCGTCGGCTGGATCAGCTTCCACGCCGCGCTGCCTTGCCTTCGCGCGGCGAGGTTCACGAACGCGACGAAGAACACCTTGAACTGGTGCAGTGAGATGGACGCGGCGGCGATGAGCAGCGTCGGCGCGCTCAAGACGACGAGAGGGAGGAGCGGGGACGACATGATCGAATCGATCGTCGCGGACGTTCGAAGCGCGGTCGAAAGTGAGGGCGACGGCGGCGGAGCGCCCCCGGCGGACGAGATCGACGCGCACAGCAGCCGTCACGAGTTCCGACGTTTCGACAACTGTGAGCTGTGTAAGGTTTCGAAGCCGCGACGTCCGCGGTCGCCGGGCCAGAAGCGCGCGCGCCGCGTCGCCGCGTCGTCGCTTCTACCTTCGCGCGTCATGCCGCTCACGGTCAAGGTGCGCTTCCGGCGCTCCGCGCCGTCGTCGCGATCCCGCCCTGATCCCGCCCTGATCCCGCGCTGACATCGTTCCTTCCTTCCCCTCCGCCTCCCCCCGCCGGCGTCGTTCCTCGCCTCCGCGCAGACCCCGGTGACGATAGAGAAGGACCGCGCGGAGATGGAGCGCGATCTCGCGCGAGACCGACAGAAGATCACGTTCGCGCGGCGGCCGATCAGAGTCCTCGCCCTGTTCGCGCGCGTGTGCGTCGACGGCGTCCGCGGCGCGCTGCGCTGGCTGCATCGACATCGTTTCCTCGCGCTCTACCCGCTCCTGCTTCTCGTCGTCCTCGTCTCCCTCGCGGCTTCGATAACCGGCCCGCACACGCCGTTCATCACGGACGCGCGCATAACGACCGAGTTCGTCGTGTGGTGGTTGGGCCTCGGCGTGTTATCCAGCATCGGGCTCGGGACGGGGATGCACAGCGGGTTGTTGTTTTTGTTCCCGCACATCCTGAAGGTGTGCCGAAGCGCCGAGGCGTGCGACGGCGTCGGGTTCGACACGCGGAATAACATGTGGTTCACGATGGGCGGCGAGGATTTGTTTGAGTGCGATAATGTATCGAAAGATGACACGTGGATGAACGTGTGGTTGGCTGTGCTCCCCGCGGCGGTGACCTGGGGCGCGGGGACCGCGATCGGGGAGATCCCGCCCTACTGGATAAGTTACCTCGCCGCGACCGCGGGGAAGGAGAACGACGATTTATACGACCTCGAGAACGAGGACGTGGGCGAGATGACGCGGATGCAGCGGAAGATACACGACTGTAAGGTGTGGATGATTTCGTTCATGAAAACGCACGGGTTTTGGGGGTTAGTCGCGATGTCGTCCTGGCCGAACGCCGCGTTTGATTTATGCGGGATCTGCTGCGGGACGTTCATGATGCCGTTCTGGTCGTTCCTCGGCGCGGTGCTCATCGGCAAAGGGCTCGTGAAGGCACCGATGCAAGCCGCGGTGATGTCCACGGTGTTTAGCACCGGACCGAGGACGTACATCATAGGCACGATCGCGAGCGCGTTCCCGCCGGGGTGGGGGGTCAGGGATTTCCTCAACGACGGCGCCGCGAAGGCTATCGGGAAGATGAACGGGAAAAAGAAAACGGCCGCCGCGAAGGGGGGGTTATCTCTCAGCACGATGTGGGGGTATCTGATCACCATATTCGTCGCGTACTTCGCGACGAGCTGCATAGAGCAAATGGCGCAGATGAAGCAAGCGAACATCGACAAGAAGGAAGTGGAGAGGAAGCTCGGGCACAGGCGGAGCGTCCGAAGGAGCCTAGGCAGCACGCCGAAGAAGTACCTGTAGCGGTCGATCATCACATTTATTTGGGTTTGGGTAATGAAAAACAACTTACAACTTTCGTAACTTATTACTACTATGAGTGATAATAGATGCGCGGCGCGACTACACTTTCACCGGGTGACCGACGTCCATCGTCATGTCGTCGAACGCGATGCACAACAACGGCTTTCCGCCTAATATCGCCGCGAGCGTCTCGTCCCCCGCGACACTTTTCCCCGGCGCCGCCGTCTTCGACTTCGACTTCGACGCCGCGCCCTTCTCATCCTCCTCAATCGTCGTCGCCGCGGCCGCGGTCGCGGGGACGTCCGACAGCGACACGGAAGCGAGCGCGAGCTGCGGCGGGAATCGTCTCTCTCCGCTCGGCGCCCAAAACCCGCCGGGTCCTCCCTCTCCGGTCCCCGCCTTCTCCTCGCGCTTCTCGCTCACCTCCGCGTCGCTCGCCGCGTCGTCGTCCTCGACCGCGACAACATCACCGACGCGGATCCAGTCGCTCAGACGCACGTTCGCTCTCAAACACAGCGAGTACTTCAGAAGGTCCGGGCACGACGGCGTGCGGCCGCTGAACGACGGCAAAAACATGTTTATCCTCGGCCCCGCGAGTTTCGGCGCCGCCGCGGGCAACGCGAGCGAGCACAGCTCGCCTCCCGCGTCGTCCACGAGCTTCACGCGCTCCGCGACGCGTTTCTCGCGGCGCGCGAGGAACGGAACCCGCCCCCATCGTTTCTTCGTCGGTCTGTCGTTCTTCCACCATCCGCGCGCGTCGACGCCCGCGCCCGCGCCGCCGTCGCGTCCCCGCGTCTTCTCCGCCGTCGTCTCCTTGAACGACGCGAACGCGGACGGGAGCCCGCACGTCTTCACGCCGTGCGCGCGCGCGGTGTGGTCGTTCACGAACACCTTCGCCGCCCACGCGCACGACGTCGGCGGGTTCCAAACCAAACCGCCCAACGCGACGAGCTCGTCGAACGTCCCCGCGGGGGAGTCGTCGTACCGCGCGAGGTAGACGCCGCCGAGGGTGTACCCGAACGCCTCGACGAGTTTCAAGTCGTCGGGGACGTGCTTTCGCGCGTCCGAGGACTTGATGAGGCAGAGCTGGTACAGCGCGCGGCCTTGGAACCGCCACGGCGCGCGGTTCTTGCCGCCGTAGCCCTTGCCTCCTCCCATCTCGTTCGTTTTCGCGAACGGGACAGAACGATCGACGGACGACGCGTCGACGCGCGCGCGGGGCGGCCGCGGAGGATCGAGCGACGACGCGCGGGGACGGACGACTTCGCGCGATGAAGCGACGGAGGATGCGACGGCGGATGGGTTCCCGGAAGCCTAGGGAAGCGGCGGTGCGACCGTGCGCGCGCGCGCGCGCGATCTTTGGATAGCGCTCCGTATCTTCATCGGCACTCGACACTCAGCTCGAGTTCACCGGCTGAAAGTCGGCGGCTGAAGAAAACCAGATCCCCCCCCCGCCTCGTCCCGCGGCACTCTCAGCGGCGCGAGGTCGTCGAGTCGAGATGGGCGCCCTCGGGAAGCGCAAGCCAGCGGCGGGGAAGAAGCCCAGCGCGAAGGCGGCGAAGCGCGAACCTTCCCCGGAGCCCGCGTCGGAGTCCGAGTCCGAGGACGGATCCTCAGGCGATGACGACGACGAGGACGAGGCCGGCGGCGGCGCGGAAGAATCCAACTCCGGGGACGGCTCCGACTCCGAGGAAGCGCTCGGCGAAGACGACGCGAGCGACGACGACGACGACGACGACGACGACGACGACGCGAGCGCGGACGACCTCGACGACGAAGCGTTCGAGGGCGACGACGTAGACCTAGACGACGACGACGACGAGGACGAGGGGGAGGAGGAGGAGGAGGACGACGACGCGGAGGATTCCGACGGCGCGATGGACGACGACTTCGACGGCGACGACGCCGGCGAAGCCGCCGGGAGCGACTCCGAGGACTCGCGCCAGGAGGAATACGACGACGCCGCGCGCGCGGCCGCGGCGGCGGCGTCCAGAGCAGGCGGCGGCGGCGGCTTCGGCTTCGCGAAAGCGTTCGCGAACCTCGTCGGCGACGACCCGTCGCGAGAGGCGGAGGTCTTGCCGAAGACGAAGAAGCAGCGTCGCGTCGAGGCGGAGGCGAGACGCGAGAAGCGCGCGAGGAACGCGGAGAAGTCTCGTAAGCTCGAGCTCCGCGAGCGCGGGCACGTCGTCCCGAAGAAGGGCGTCGCGGACCCGGCGAGCGACCAGCTCGAGCGGCGGTTGATTCAGACGGCGACGAGGGGCGTCGTGCGGCTGTTCAACGCGGTGAGCAAAGCGCAAAGAGACGCCGCGGAGGCGGACGCGTCGAGGGATAAGAAGAAGAAGAAGACGACGTTGCTGTCGAGTAAAGGGTTCATGGCGGAGCTCACGAAGCGCACGAAGGCGAGGACGGACGACGAGATCGAGATGGAGGCGGAGATACTCAAGAAGACGGCGGGGCAGAAGAAGGCGGAGGCGGAGGGCGGCTGGGACGTCCTCTCGGACGGGTACCTGATGGGTCGGAACAAGATGAAGGACTGGGAGAAGGGGACCGCGGCGGGGGAGAACGAGCTCGAGATCGAGGACGAAATGCTCGAATAGCGCGAGATGATGATACGACACGATTAAGTACATCCATCCCCTGTTTATTTACCCTTCGTCCCCTCCCCCTTTCCGCCCGCTCATCGCAACCCGCGCGGAAGCGGCGCGTTGAGCCTCGAAAACTGATACCGCGTGTTCTGCGGCGGCCCTTCCGCGCCGAAATCGCTCTCGCGCATCCACGCGGTCTTCACCTTCACGCCTAACGTATCGCGCGGGTGAAAACTCACGCTCGACTTGACGATCGGCGGCGTCGTCGCGCTGCTCTGCTCGGACTTCGCGATCGCCGCCACGTAAGGAAACCGCCGCCGCATCAAGCTCGCCGCCGAGTCGAGCTTGCGGTTCCCGCCGCCGCCCGTTCCCATCGCGGGGACGGTCTGCGACGCGAGAGGGGACTCCCCGAACGCCGCGCCGCGCTCGCCTCTCCTCTTCTTCACGGACGCGGACGCGGACCCGACGAGCTTCCTGTGACCCGCGGGCGCGTGCGGGTTCACCGTGTGCGGGCGCGTCTCCCCGGGCGGCGACACGGGCTTGTACAGATACCCGGCGCGCTCGCCCGTCACCGTCCGCGGCCGACCCGCTTTCGACGCGGAACCGAACACGTAGTCGTTCGTGTTCCGGTTATCCAACTGCAGCGACATCTGCTTCGCGTTCGACTCTAACCTCACGCACATGGACTGGAGGATCGTGACCTCTTGTTTCAGGCTCGAGATGACCCTCAAGTCGTCGTCGCGGCTCTCGCGGTTGTCAAACTTTCTCTTCATCTCATCGTGCTCCGTCTTCAGCGCTTCGTTCGTCTCGTTCATGATCGCCCTGGACGCGCTGAACGCCCACGACAAGCGCTTACCCTTGAGCTCCGATCGCGCCTCCAGCGCTCGCTTCTCGTTCTCGTGCGACGCCTCCATCTCGCGCGCGCGCGTCTCCGCGGCGGCGGCTTCCTCTCTTCGTCGCTCGTTGAGCACGCGCACCGCAGCCGCGTGCGCGGCATCCATCCGCTTCGATTCCTCGGCGGCAGCCTCCCTCTGCGCGACGACGTCCGCGCGCGCGTTCTGAATCTCCGCGTGCAAGCTCATCGCCTCCTCCTCGAGCGCAGCGACGCGCGTGGTCTGTTCGCTCGCCGCCCGCGTCAGCGACGCGACGTCGGCGTCTCTCGCCGCGACGCGCGCGTCGCGCTCCGCGACGTCCGCTTCGAGCGCCCTCTTCACGTCGTGCATCTCCGCCTCTAACGACTCCTTCACGGCCTGCATCTCGTCCGCGGCAAACGTCGTCGCGTCTGCGAGCTTCTTCGACCACTCCGCGACGAGCTGCTCCCTCGTTTCCTCGCGCGCCGCCTCCGCGGCGGCGGCGGCGGCGGCGTTGCACCGTCTAACCGCCTCCTCCTCCGCGAGAAGCAACGCGTGCGCCTTCTCTTTGCTCGCCTTCTCCGCGGCGATGGACGCCTCGTGCGCGGCTTTGGACAGCGCCCCCGCGCTCGCCTCGAGCTGCCGCCCGAGCTCCTCCACGAGCTCGTCCGCCTCTTGCGTCCGAGTTTCGAGCGATAGCACGCGCGCGTTACTCTCTTCCAACATCTTTCGCGTCGCGTAGACTTGCTGCTTCAAGTCAGACGCCATCGCGTCCGCGCTCTTCGCCGCTTCCGCGCGCTCCTTCGCGAGCGTCGCTCGGAGTTCCGCGACGGTCGCCTCTGCCCTTGCGACCGCGGCTTTCGCTTCTTTCGCTTCCGCCGCCTCCTTCACCGCGTGTTCCAGCGAAGTGATCTTCTTCGCCGCCTCCTCGGCTTTTTTCTTCCACTCGTCCATCTGCGTCTTCGCCTCGGTCGCTTTCGCGGCTTCCGCTTTCTGCTTATCCTGCGCATCCGTGGCCGCTTTCTTGAGCTTACACTCCAGCGCGTTCATCTGCGTCTGCTTCTCCTTCAGCGCGATGTCTAATCCGTCCCCGGCGAGGTCTGCGACTAAAGACGCGGCGTCCACGGAGACGACGCCCTCGTTGATCGTCGCGGTGATCTCAATGCGCGCCGCCCTGGACGCAAACTCCAACGTGCTCACGGTCTCGTCCGCGCTCTCGGCGGACGGCGAGCAGCACACGAGAAGGCTCGTCTTGCAGTTGCCCCCCACGGAGTCTTCCAGAATTCTCGTGAGTTTCGAGTCGCGGTACGGGATAAAATTCTTCTTCTCCGCGAGCGCTTGGACGATGTTGCCGAACGCGAGCAACGACGAGTTGATGTTCGTCGCCTCGCGTAACTGCTGCCCGACGACGCCGGATTTCTTGATGCGCTCCGAGCCCGCGAGGTCGACCACGGTGAGCTTACCGAACACGGCTTTCATCTCGACCTTCTTCGCGCCCTTCTTCGCGGCGGCGGCGTCGCTCGCGCGCGGCCTCTTCGCCACCTTGATCTGGAACACTGCGTGAGAGCGCGAGGACGCTTTGTTCATCTTCGTCTCCGCGTACACGAGGTTGTTCCTGCCTTTCTGGAAGCACTGAAGTAAGTCCGTCGGGGTCTTACACGGCATCCAGGTTAACCCTCGGACTTCGCTCTTGCCGGTGACTTGTAAACCTTGCGCGCGTTCGCGATCCGCGCCGAGTAAGCAGTCGATGTTTTCGTTGTAAATTTGCAACATCGACGCCTCCACGGAGTACACGTGCGCGACGTCCGCGCCGATGTGCACGAACAGCGCGGCGACTAAGCGCGGAAGCAACCCCGCCTGTTTCGGGTCCGCCTTGCCGTCGATCCCCATCCCGGAGTTTAACAGCGAGTGCGTCTTCCCCGCGCCGGTTTGTCCGTACGCGAGGATGCTCCCGTTGTACCCCATCAAGACGTCCTTCAGGACCGGCTTCCCGACTTCCTCGTACACGTCCTTCTGCGTGCTCTCCGGGTCGAACACGCCGTCGAAGGTGTACTCCTTTTCGATCGTCTTGACCTGCGCGCTGCCTCCCGCGAGGACGCGCTCGACGGCGTCGCCGTCTTGAAGGCGCACGACGCATCGGTTCGTGTCTTGGTTCATGGACACGCAGTGCGCGTCGCCATCCTCGCGCGCGACCCCGGGTCGGACGCGGGAGAAGACGTTGACTCTTCCGGTGGCGGCCATCTCGCTCGATATGCGCGACACGGGCGACGGCGGCGGTTTGTGCGCTCTGGGGAGGGGTAGACGGAGGACGGGGACGGGTGTCGGGGGTCAGACGCGTTCGCGTCGCGGAGAAATCTCAGATTCGTCCCGGGACGTTTCGGGACGCGTTGACCGAGCCCCGCGCCGCGTATCGCGACGCGCGGCGTCGCTCGAAGCGCGCGTCTCACCTTTTAACGTGTAAAGCGGAACGAACGCGGCGCGTTTCGTCGTCCAGAGCGCGCGCGTCGTGCGTCGTGGACTGCCGCGGGACCCCGCGGCCTGCCGAGAAAAAGGGGAAGGAAGAAGCACTGGTTCGCGCGCTTCCGCGGTCGACCGCCAGATTTCCGTTCGAAGGTTTGAAAAAAGAAGCGTCTCGCGCCCGCCGCGGGGGCGCCACTCCCCTCCCGCGCGCGCGCACGCACACGGACGAGCGAGGGTTTACGCGCGTCTCTCTCATCATGGCGGTCGGGGAGAGCGCCCCGTACGGGGATGGCCCGTTCGCGGAGTGCCACGAGCTCATCGAGGAGATGCGGCGGATATACGCCACGGACGAGGACACGATGAAGGCTCGGCAGCTGAACGAGCAGTTCGCGGAGGTTCGCGAGCTGTGCGAGAGGCGCGAGGTGCACATGCAGGACGTGATCAAGGAGATGGTGCAAAAAGTGAAGGAAGCGGAGAAAGCGGCGACGCCGACGGAGTCGGAGGAGGAGCACAAGAAGCGGCTCGCGCAGGCGGAGTCGGAGAAGCGCGCGGCGGAGGAATACCTCACGCACATGGAACACGAAGCGATGGCGCTCGAGAACTCGCAAGCGGAGCTCAAAGCGGAGGCGGCGAAGCTCAAGATGAAGAAGCAAGAGCTCACGGACATGGAAGATGAAGGCGTGCCCCGGTTGAAGCACGAGCTGTCGCTGTACGCGCACATATCGAAGATCTCGTGGGCGTACGACAGACCAGATCGAATCAAAGGCCGCGTGAACGGCGCGGGCGAGGTGAAGCCGTTCGATTTCGCGCCGGACGAGATGACCGAGTTCGAACTCGTGAACAAGATGTGGGACCTCATAGATTAAACGCGCCGCGCGGGATGTAGATGTACGTGTATAAGAACGAACGACGCTTCACTCACGCGCGGTCGACGACGACGCGCAAGACGTTCCCGCCGCCGCCGCCGCCGCCGCCGCCGGGGAGAAACCGCGCGTGGTTCGCGCCGACGGCGACGCCGTACACCGCTAACACGTCCTTCCCCACGCACACGAGCGGGGTTCGATCGCGCAAGTGCGACGGATACTTGCGATCGCGCATCCAGTCCTTCAAGAGCTTCTCTTCGCGATCATCTCGAAACGTGTCCCCCCGCTCGCGCGTTCGGATTTCAAACGCGCACGCCTCCGGGACGTCGCTCAGGAGCGCGCCGCCGCCGCCGCCGCCGCCGTCGTCCTCGTCGCGCGCGCCGTTCTCCCAGGACGCGGTCACGGTCCACCGCCTCGGGTGCGTGATATCGACGCCCTCGCACGCGCGCGTCACCACCACGTCGTCGAATGACTCCGCGTCGGCGCGGCGCCGCTCGGTCCACGCGCGCGCGCCGACGCGAACGAACACGTGTTCCTTGCCGAGCCTCCGCTCCCGCGCGCCGCGCTTCTCGCCGCCGCTCAGGAAGTTCGACAGCATCTCGAGCTTCGCGGACCCCAGGCGTATTCCCGCAGTCGCTTCGACGTGCTCGCGGAGCTGATCCTCGCGCGCCATCTCGTCGAGGCGAAGCCACGCGTCGACGTCGATCTCCGCGTCGTTCACCGCGGCCCCGAAGACGTTTTCGCTTCCGACGAAGCATTTCGGGCGGTCGTCTAACGACGCTCGCAGCTGCGCGCTCTGTCGCGTCATCGCTTTCAGACGCGCGTCTAACGTGTCCGTGCCGTTCGTCTGCTGCGTCGTGAGCTCCCGCAGCAGCGGCACGAGCTCGTGGCGTATTTTGTTCCTCGAGAACGTCGCGTCGTCGTTGCTCTCGTCGACGCGGGAGTCGACGCCGCGAGCGCGCAAGTACCGCACGAGCTCGTCCTTTCTGCAGTCTAATAGAGGCCTTCCGACGTCGCCGTTCACGTACATCATGCCTTTGATGTTCGAAAGGTGGCACCCGCGGAGGATCTTGAGCAGGATCGTCTCGACCTGGTCGTCCCAGTGGTGGGCTTGCAGGATCACGCGCGCGTCGACGTCGCGCGCGAGCGCCCTCGCTTCTTTCCTTCGCCACTCGCGCGCGCGCTCTTGGAAGTGCGAGCTCCCCCACGGCGCCTCCGGTCTCCTCACGTGCACGTCGACGCCTAAACGTTCGCACATCTCCACGACGAACGTCTCCTCCTCCTCGGACGCGGACCGCTTGCCGTGGTTGCAGTGTAACACGTGCACGGCGAGGTTCCACTCGTCGCTCAGCTCGCGAAGGAGGTGTAACAGCGCGACCGAGTCCGGGCCGCCGCTGACGCACGCGACGACGACGTCCCCGCGTCGAACGATATCGTGCTCGCGCATGACGCGCACGACTTTGGACGCCAACGCGTTCGGAGCGTCGTCGTCGTCGCGGGCCGTCGCGGTCGCCGTCGCCGCCGCAGCGTTCGTTCGCGAACGGCACCTCCGAGAGATGTCGTCGTCGTCGTCGTCGTCGTCGTCGTCGTTCGCTCTCGACGCGCTCCACGCGGACGCGCGACGTCGACCGGAACTCGAGACCTCACGTCCCGCGAGACGGCGTTGCCGCGACGCGGTGTCCGCCGCGGCGGCCGCGCGAGCGACGCGGGGAGAGAGGAGACGCGACGGGTTGGTCGCGACACGGGCGGGCGACGAGACCGCGCTCGCCATCGTCGACGCGCTTCGCGCTGTCGCGTTGGAAGCTCCCGAGGACGCTTCGCGGCGTCGCAGCCCCCTCGCGGGAGCGCGGGCGCGCGACGCGACGGTCTCTTCCCGACCTCGACGCGGCCCGGGGATGGACGCGCCGGTCCGACGCGCGCGCGAAGGAGTGGGAGCGAACGGCGTCGGCTCCGTCTGCCAAGATAAATGTCTTTTCGTTGGCACCCGGACGCACTTCTCGCGGCGCGATGGCGACCGCGGCGACGTCCGTCGCGCTCGTCGCTTCTTCGACGCGACGAGCGCGTCGTCCGCGATGGACCTCGTGTCCGACGCGGTGCGGCGCGAGCCCGTTCGGGGGCGGCGAGATCCCCCCCGCTGGAGGTAGCGCGTTCGGGAGCGCGACGACGAAGACGTCCGGCTCCGCGAGTCCCTTCGGCGGCGCGGGATCGTCCTCCGCGACCGATCCGTTCGAGACGGGTGCGCGGCGTCGCCCTCTTTCCTCCGTCTCCGTCTCCTCGAACGATACCGCGCGTCGCGCCGACGTCGACGCCGCTCTTATCCAACAACCATCGTTCACGCTCGCAGGGACGCGCGATCGGAAACCGACGAACGAAACTTCGTCGCCGGCGCAGCCGTCTTCGTCGTCGTCGTCGTCGTCCACCTCGGTATCCTACCGCGCGTGGGACGACGTCGAGGTGTACGAAGTCCCGGACGACCTCCGACGCGCCGGGTCCTCGCGCGTGGAAGAGCACGTGACGTTCTACGGCCTGGACGAACTCTTCCCGGGGAGCGGGTTGGGCGAGACGTTCAACGCGTCCGCGGCGTTTCGAACGGCGATTCGAGCGGCGATGCGCGAGGACATGTTCGTTCCGGACCCGAGCAAGAGCGATAAAATAAACACGGCGATATCGTCGCTAGGGTGCTCGGTCATGGTGAACTGGAAGCGGTCGAAGAGCGGGTACGCGGCGCTGACGAAGGTGTTCGAATCGAACGGCGTCCGCGGCGTCACCGGCGAGGCGTTCATCCTCGCGCTCGGCGGTCTCTGCGGGACGGAGTCGCACGGGTCGTTGATCGACATCACCGGGACGGGGCGAAGAAAAGAGCGGCACTCGTGGCACCAGGACTCCGGTTTAGATCGACGCACGGTCATGCTCGGGTTCCCCCCGAGCGACGGCTTCGACGGCGTCGGCGTGTTCTCGCACGCCGCCAAACTGTCGCACCCGCTGCGTCGCGCCGACGGCGACGACGCGGAGGGCGCCGTGATCCAATGGGAAGACTTCGACGCGGGGGAGCTCCCCGTGGAAGTGATCGGACGGCCGGAGTATCGACCAGGGCACGAGGTGATGGTGTACTGCGACGCGACGCACGTTCACAGCGCGCCGGACGAGACGAACCGGGAGAGCGTTTGGAGATTTATGTGAGCGTCAGCCGAGAGAGGCGACTGTAAAGCGCAGCAGAGGTCGCGAAAATAATCGAGAAATTCAGTCCGAAATCAAAAAAGGATAACTCAGAAACGACGGTCTAATTCACCCGAAAATATCGAGAAAGAT